GGGTCTCCCTACGACGAACCTAAACTCTTATTCAGGACACCCTTGAACTACTGCTTGTGAATCGTCTTTGAACAATTAGCAAATGGGTATGAATAAGGAGTAAAGTATTATGATGACCCCCGAGCAACGTTATCTTTTCGATGTCACCGGATACCTTCACCTGAAGAATGTTCTGAGCGACGAAGAGTTGAAAGCAGCGCAAGAAGCGGCAAATGAATACATCAATACGCCTACCGAAGAGCTCCCACCCGGATTTGATTCCAGCGCAAAAAACCTCCCAAACGGCTTTGCGTTTGCGAAACCCTTAGAAGCCCTCACACTGCACCGATCGACGTGGCCCATCATCAAGGAACTGACCAATAACAAACCGCAGTTGATGCGTGGAACTATGATTGCGGATCGGGCGGGTGTGTCAGAGTCGGCGGAAGGGCTCCGTTTGCATTGCGCACGAGAGGATTTCGGATGGCACGCCAATCGTTATGAGGTCCGACACGGTCGAATCTTTTGTGACGATTTTGTTGTTTTTCCGTATCTGTACGATGTGCATCCCGGAGATGGCGGATTGCTGGTGGTACCCGGCACACACAAGACCGTTTTCGATCGTCCTGAACACCTCTATAACAACGGAAGGGTTGAAGAAGCCAATGATATTCCACAAGGGGTCGTTAACGTCACGCCAAAGGCAGGGGATATGGTGATTATCTCTGAGCTCTTGACGCACGGTGCACTGCCTTGGAAGCCGAAAGACCGATATCGTTGCGTCCTGACCCTACGCTACAGACCGCAACACCGTGGCGAGAGTCGGGTGCCGGAAGAGGTTAGAACACGATTATCACCAGAAACGCTGGAACTCATCTCCCAAGCAGACCACTATCACACGAAAGAGATCGTTAAAAAGGATGTCATCACGTTGACATAATCGGGGTTACAAACCCCTCCCACAAGCGGATTGGTGTGTTTCAGTTAAGGAACCGGTCTCACCGCTGGCGCACCGTGCTGCTCACACCACGAGGCAAGCGGACTTTCACCACCGCCCGGATGATATTCTTGCGTTTTCTTGAAGGGTTCTCCAACCAGATACTGATCGAGCGGCGACAACTTATCCAACAAATCCTGTTCCTGTGTCCGATAGTCCATCGGCATCACCCACCGGTAACCGTAACCAAACATCACGCCTTACGAATGTGATCGGTTAAGTTCGCACCCCCCGCATGATAGATCCGATTCTCAAACAACAGGCAATCCCCAGGTCGTAGACTTGGTTCAAGGGCACCCTCTGGGTCTGTTTGTCCTTCTGGAATAGCAATCCGCTCAAGGAGATGGTTGCTACCGGGGGTGACGAGCGTTGCGCCGGAATTGGGTTCACTCAGGTCGGTGAAGTAGTACGCACATTTCAACAGAATACGTGGTAACTTGTTGCCGTGTGTTTTCGTTGCCATGCCGTAGTCGCGATGCCAACCCGGAGCGCGAGCGTATCCGGTGTGCCCGGTGGATCCGGGTGTTTATATATCAGGTGCGAGGTCATGAGTTGTAAATGCGCACCGAGCAACTGCACCACAACAGGCAAAATGGTTTCCTGCGCGAGTAGGGGAATGAAGGCATCGTCAATGGAAATGCAATTTCGGAAACTGTCGTATAAACCGTTGGAATTGTGTTGACGGTTCTCACGTCGATCGCTCGCCATGAGCCGATCACTCACTTCAATCAGTTCTTCGATAGTATCCGAATCCAGCACGTTCCGCACGATGAGATAGCCTTTGTCGTCGAATTGGCGTATATCGTCATCAGAGAGCGGATACCAGTCGAGGTCGATTAATGGTTCGTTTGTGTGTGCCATTGCTTTTGCTCCTGTGTTTTCGTATCAGGGCACCGGATCAATTAACTTACGAAAATGGATAGTAGGACTCCGTGAAATTTTCAGAAACACGTCAGGACGGTCATGCAATTCACCCACGGAATAAAACAGTTGTGTTCGTCGCCTACTCTTGTTGAAGTTAAGATCCACGATACTTACGAACCGGTAGTCATAGTCATCAAGGAATTCTTCCGATTCCCAGAAGGATTTTCCTATACATTGGCAGTAAGTGATAAAGCAATATGCCCCTTTTAATTGTTGGACAACGTGTGATGCCAGTTTAGAGTCCATTTCTTGAGTTTCAATGCAAATGATCCACTTTCTTTCACTTCCATCGTTGGATACGATCACAAAATCAGCTCGCTTGCGTTCGCCCTTTGATCCATTAAAAACAGTAAGAGGATTCTCAAAATCCTCCGCTCTGATAACAATAGAGTTACGAGGCAGCCCATTTATTTCCACAGCCATACCAGATTGCAAGTCGGTTAATTCAACAGAGGGTCTACCGTGTCCTGATTGTAACATAACTTGGGCATCAGGGTTGAGCATTTCCCGCAGTATCTGAATATCATTCACGAGGCTTACTCTTCTCCCCAGACAATTTCATCCTGAATCCTGTTCATGTCATCAATCGTCTTATCAAAACTGCTAACACCAATGCCGAACTTGGGATGGATCTTCGCTGGGACAAGTGTGTGTCCTCGTTTACGTCTTTTCTGTCCTTCCTCCAACGGCAGCAACGCCTTTTCTGCTACGTATACTTTGACCTGATCCGCTTTAATCAACTCGCTTTTTTTATAACCGTTTTCTTCGGTGACTCTCTTCAGGTGTGGCGTATCGTGATTGAGCATGATGAGCGTATTGAGTTCCTTGACGATGTAATCGCTGTGGGTGGTTATGAAAACTTTAACCCCTATATTTGCAAGTCTCGCAAAGAGTCTGGCGATGCGACGTTGGTTTTCTGGATGTAGACTTAATTCGGGTTCGTCTACCATAAGCAGATCGCCTTTTTCAGCGATATACCGCAGATAAAAACTGAGGTCTAAAAGGGAGCGAACAGCACTTGAGCTTTCAACCATCGTCAATTTATGCCGAGTGCCTTTCGGGATATAGTAGAGTTGGTCGTTTTGTGTAATGGTGTATTCGCCCCCGATAATATCTGCAAAGTCTTCCAAGATTTCAGGGTGTTCTTTGGCAATGAAGCTTTTGCTTTTGGCAATATCTTCCAGTTGGCGTGTAAAGTTAACATTGTCTTCTATCGGCGTTGGATAACTTTGGTATGCTTTAAATAGTTGTTCACGCGGATCCGTTTTTTGGTCCGCTTGTGCTATCTGGTCGAGCAGTCGATTCCGAGCAAAATTGAGTTCCTTGCGAAAAATAGCCGTACCCGTTCGCTCAACTGAGCATATAAAAGGTCTAGGAAGGGAATGAGAAAAAAAAAAGCCCTAAGAATAATAAGTTCAACGACCATTCTTGCAAAAAACGGATCAATGTCTCTTCGCTCTTTTTCAATCTCTATCGTGACTGTTAGAATTTCACTATCTTCGTGTTTTGAATAACTAAAATTCCCCTCCTGTGTGGTCCTGATTCTTCCATTAATTTCTTTGTTACGTACGTTATTCTCGCCTACATCAACGTGAAATTCGCTGTCATGAAAAGTGCCTTCAGGTGCTGCAAAAACCTGGTCCAATTGCTTAGGGTACGTCTTGTATGCATTTATAAGCGTCTGATTTGCTTGTTTGACATATTGTGTTAACTCAATTTTAAGAGTGCCGTGTGTAAGTAGACTAAGAATCTGATCTTCACCAATCGAGATACGGCCAAAATTAGACCAAGACTTTAAGAAACGGTACAGGGCACACGCAGCATAAGTTTTGCCGGTGTTATTTTCACCACATATAAGCGTCAAATCCCCCAGCGAAAATTCTGCCTGTTTTAGGATTCCAATATTTTTTAACTTGACTGTAAGGCTCATATTGACACCTCTACAATGATTCTGGAAAATTGCGGTGTAAAATCATAATTGCTGCTTCTGCTTTTAATACGTATCAGACGAATTTCCGTTTTTCGTGGCTATATTATACCAAAGGCATATTGGAATTACAAGCCAAATAGCTGCTATACACATGCCATTGCTATGGGTCTCCAACGGGATTTTTGGACGATGACACGGTTTCCGCTTTGACTCGGTGCGGTTGGGAAACCGCACCTACCGGGCCTGGAGTGACGGCGAGGTTTGGAAACCTCGCCAGCAGAAGAATAGAGAAAAGAGGGTTATTGAAGTAGTTCCACGAATGCTTCGACATCCGTTGTGGGGGCTTGGCAGACGTAATTTTCGCAGACGTAAGCCGTTGCAGTCTTGTCAACCTGCGGTTTGTTCGCGAGGAGTGGTAACGTCTGTCCATCAGCGGATTCGCTCAAGGCGACGATTTTGTTGGGCTGATAGACACCGTGCAACGCCGCTAACATCGCGTCCGTTTTCGCATCTCCCTTTTCACCGACGATGGCAATCTCCTTTGGCGTTGACAGCAAAAACGCTAACTCACAGAGTAACTGCCCGGATCCCGATGGCATCCCCTCCATCTGATGGAAGTAAAGCAACAAGGTCTCAACGGCTTTGTCGTGGAATTCGGGGTTGTCGAGGTGTTTGGCAAGCCGTAAGAGACTGTGAATCGCCATGGATGCGCCAGAAGGCGTGGCACCGTCGTAAGCGGATTTGGATTGGACAATAAGCGTTTCGTGCGCTTTGCCGGTGAAGAAGAATCCGTCGCCTGCATCATCCCCGAACTGATCGATCATGAGATGTGTGAGACGCTCGGCTTCGGTGAGCCATCGCGGTTCAAAACTGGCTTCGTAGAGTGCGATTAACCCGGCAATGAAGTAGGCGTAATCCTCAAGATAGGCGTTGAGGTGGCTTTTACCGGCGCGATAGGTGCGCAAAAGGAGTCCGTTCTCTTGGGATAGCGTTGTCAAGACGAACTCAGCAGATTTTTCACATGCCTCAAGGTATTCCGGTTTCCCGGTCAGTTGATATCCCATTGCCATGCCGCGGATCATGATACCGTTCCAACTGGTCAGGATTTTGTCGTCTAATCCGGGTTTAATCCGCTTCTCTCGCTCATCAAACAGTTTCCGTTTCCCGTCTGCGAGGAGAGTTTCCAGTTCTCCGACCTCCATACGCAGTTTTTGGGCAAAGATATCAGGCGGCACTTGGACCTGGAGGATGTTTTCTCCTTCAAAATTGCCTTGTGGGGTGATGTCGTAATACTCACAGAAGATTTCGGCGTTCTCTTCGCCGATAATGTCTTCCACATCGTTCGGCTCCCAGACGAAGAATTTGCCCTCTACGCCTTCACTATCGGCATCTTGCGTTGAATAGAAACCGCCGTTTTTCCGCGTCGTACATCTCGCGGAGAACATAGTCAAGCGTTTCGGTGGCTATATCGCGATAGAACGGCTTCTGAGTGGCTTGGTACGCCTCAAAATAGGCGACGACGAGTTGCGCGTTGTCATACAGCATCTTTTCAAAGTGTGGGGCGAGCCAGTGCGCGTCGGTGGAATATCGGTGGAAACCGCCACCGAGTTGGTCGTATATACCACCGCGTGCCATCTTCTCCAGCGTGAGTTCGACCATCTCTAAAGCATTGGCGTTGCCAGTATGATGCCAATAGCGTAATAGGAAGGGCAATCCCATGCTGGGTGGGAATTTGGGGGCATTGCCGAATCCGCCGTATTGCGAATCGAATTCGGAGTTGTAGTGCTGAAAAGCATGGGTCATCAGTTGTTCTGTAAGCTCATGGTGGTGTGGGTCAACGACGTTACCTATTTGCGCAAGGTGCGTGGTAATTTGTTCTGCTTGCTCCAGGACCTGCACATTCTGATCACTGAACGCCTCGGCAACAGCGTGCATCACCTTTGGGAATCCCGGTCTACCATACCTGTCGGTGGGTGGGTAATAGGTTCCGCCGTAGAAGGGTTTCAGGTCAGGGGTGAGAAAGACGGTCATGGGCCAACCGCCTTGACGTGTCATGATCTGAACGGCTTGCATGTAGATTTCATCTAAATCGGGACGCTCTTCTCTATCGACCTTGATGTTGATGAAAAGATCGTTCATGACCGCGGCGATTTCCTCATTTTCAAAGGATTCGCGTTCCATGACATGGCACCAGTGGCAAGCGGAGTAGCCGATACTGAGGAGGATAGGCTTTTGCTCACGCTTGGCGTGCGTCAATGCTTCTTCGCCCCACGGATACCAGTCAACGGGATTATGTGCGTGCTGGAGCAGATAAGGGCTTGTTTCATGAATAAGGCGGTTGGTGTGTTTGGGGTTTTTAATTTTACCTTGCGGAGAAACGACGTGGGTTTGAACTTCAGAGGTCATTTCTTATATCCGCCCTCCATTTCATTACGGGCTTACGGCTGTGTGTTAAAAAACCTTGCCCGAAACTGGCAGCCTGCGACAACGCGCAGGCGACTCGTAGATGAAAACCGTTAGGGAACCGATCACTTGATCTAACGCTTCGCGAGTCATTAAAAAAGTGAAAAGGATACCGCTACGGGGATTCGAACCCCGGTTTGATGGCTGAGAACCATCCGTCCTCACCCCTAGACGATAGCGGCACATTGGCATAATAGAAAGAACTGCCCGGGAAGGACTCGAACCTTCGCTACGTGGTCCAGAGCCACGCGTCCTACCATTAGACGACCGGGCATCGATCTACATTTGCAGACCTGTTGCACTTTTTAAGTATACCTTAATTAATCGGGTTTGTCAATTCTTTTTCAATAATTTACCAGGGTCATTCAGTTTTAAGAAATTATCGGATTCTTCGGAGTTTGAACGTCCTTTTTCAATATCCGGAGCGGTTACAAACCGCTCCTACCGGGCCTGGCTCCCCAAAATCTGACTAAAAAACGAAAAACTGAATGGCTCTGAAGAATTTACTGCATCGGTATGACCGAGACTGAGATATTGGAAAAGGTATAGAAAATATTGAGGAACCCGATGAGGATCGTTGGGATGACAAAGACGCTCAAGAGGGCAAAAGTGCCGGTAGAAAAGGAGATCTGTGTTGTTTCTTCGCCGGGATCTTCGAGAAACATCGCTTTCACAATGCGGGCATAATAGTAGAGCGAGACGACGCTACTGAGCAGACCGACAAGTGCGAGCCAATAATACCCTTGCTCAAGGACAGCGGCAAAGAGTAGCCATTTTCCGAAGAAACCCGCGAACGGCGGAATCCCGGTCAGCGAAAAGAGGAAAATCGCCATTGCCCAAGCGACCAACGGCGCACGCGAGGCGAGACCCCGGTAGCTCTCAATCATTTCGCTCCCCTCCTCATTCGCAATCAGAACAACGACATAAAACGCGCCCAAGTTCATAAAGAGATAGACAACGAGATAGAAGAGGATCGCGCCGATGCCTTCAGAGGTGAGCAGGACAGCACCCATCAAAAGGTAACCACCGTGTGCAATGCTGGAATATGCTAATAAGCGTTTCACATTCTGTTGTGGCAAAGCGGCGAGATTTCCGACAACCATCGTCAATGCGGAGACTATTGCCAACATAAAGGTCCAATCAACAGCCTGCATTAATTCAGAGTTGCCAAATCCGGAGTAGAAAAACCTGATGAACAGGGCAAACCCTGCGGATTTTGAAGCGACTGACAGAAAGGCGGTTATCGGAATAGGCGCGCCTTCGTAAACGTCAGGGGACCACATGTGAAATGGGACTGAGGCTATCTTATAGCCTACACCCGCAAGGACGAAGGTTATTGCGATCAGCACGGCAAGCGGAGCCACCTCTCCAGATGCGAGGAGTTCCGTGAGTCGCACACTAATTTGACCGAGATCGCCGCTGCCAGCCATTCCAAACAGAAGCGACAACCCAAAGAGCATGGTTCCAGAAGCGACTGCACCAAACGTGATGTATTTGAACGCGGCTTCACTGGCACGAGGGTTATGCGTTAAGAACCCAGCAAGAATATAGGAGGTAAGACTTACCATTTCCAACGAGATAAATATCATCAACAGATTCGTCGACGATGTCATCAGGAACATCCCAAAGGTGATGGCTAACAAGAGTGCGTAGTATTCACCCTTCAACCGCGCATCAAGTTCCTCAGAGCGGAGGGAGAAGAGAATCGTTGCCGCAGTTGCGAGCAGCAGCAGAACCTTGAAAAAACTGGAAAAGACATCAAGTCGGATCATTCCCAAAAAGAGGGAAACAGGACCTTTATCGCCGAAAGAGAAGTGTGTGATAAGGACAGCGGCGAATACGCAAATACACCCTGCGAGGGAGAGATGTGCCACCGCGGAACTTTCCCCGTCCTTCACAACGAGATCAAGGAGTACAACGGCAACGGCAAAAATCACAAGGAGGATTTCCGGACTGAAGTAGAGGAGGCTTTCGATGTTGCTTAAGGGTTGCATACTTTCCTCAAACCTCCTATATCGCCTGTAGTACGTCTATGAGGTTGGTAACCGACTCTCTGAACATATCAATAGCGAAGTTGGGCCAGACACCGAGTACAATGGTCAAGATTCCGAGCGGTACCAGCGTTAGAATTTCGCGTCCATTGATTTCGGGGATTTCTTCATATTTCGGGTTGAGTGTCCCTAAGAAAACCCGTTGAAGCGTCCAGAGGAAATATGCCGCACCGATAACAATACCTATTGTGGACAAGATGGTCAACATCTTGAATTTATCGTAGGCACCAAGTAAGGAGAGTGCCTCTCCGACGAATCCACTCAAGCCGGGCAGTCCCAAAGATGCCATGAACGCGAGCGTCGTAATGCCGGTATAAACGGGCATTTTGGTTCCCAGGCCGCCGAATCCGTTAATTTCACGGTGGTGTGCTCTGTCGTAGAGAACACCGACGAGTAGGAAGAGCATCGCACTGATAACGCCGTGATTGAACATCTGGAGAATCGCACCGGTGATGCCGCTGTCATTTCGTGCGGAAAGTCCCAAGATGACGAAGCCCATGTGTCCGATACTGGAATACGCGACCAACTTCTTAAAGTCGGTTTGTGCCAGTGCGCAGAAGGATCCGTAGACGATATTAATAAACCCAAGAAGTGCGAGACTATTGCCCCAGAAACCTATCCCATTACAGAAGAAGTCCAAGCCTTGTGGAAACATCGACATATTAATCCGCACCAACCCATAAGTTCCCATCTTTAGGAGGATCCCTGCGAGGATAACACTAATTGCTGTCGGTGCTTCGACGTGTGCATCGGGAAGCCACGTATGGAAGGGGAAGATCGGCACCTTAACGGCAAACCCTATAAAGAAACCGAGGAAAACCCAGATCTGGAAGTTGAGGTTGTTAAGGGCGTTTCCTTCTGTAGCTGCTAACGTAATGAGTGTTGGAATATCAAAGGTTCGCGCACCCAGTGCCCCACTGTTGAGATAGACGGCTATCATGGCGACCAACATCAGAACGCTGCCAAAGAGGGTATAGAGGAAGAACTTAATCGCAGCGTATTCACGGCGTGGTCCGCCCCATATACCGATAAGGAAGTACATCGGCAGTAGTGTTAGTTCAAAGAAGACGTAGAAGAGGAACAGATCCAGCGCAACGAAGAAACCCAGCATTCCTGTCTCAAGCAATAGGAACAGTGCCATGTACGCTTTGATACCTTTTTCGATGTTACGCCAAGAGGCAATAACACAGATGGGACCTAAAAGTGCAGTAAGGAGTAAAAGCGTCACACTGAGTCCGTCAATGCCGATGTGATATTGAATATTAAACGCCTGAATCCAAGGAACGTTAACGACGTACTGCGTTCCTGCAGTCGAGCGGTCGTAGGATATGAATAAAGCGACTGCGACTGCGAGCGGAACGAGTGTAAAAAAGAGCGTAACGCGTTTAATCAGTTCATCGGACTCGCGCGGTAGAAGTAAAACAGCGATCATCCCGAGCAACGGGATAAAAATCATTAGCGACAGTAACATTTTTTAATTATACCTTGCGGAGTAATGAAGTGGGTTTTGTACTTGATGTGCCTTCCTCGTATCCGCCCTCCACTTCGTTACGGGCTACGGGTTTGTGCTATACCAAGTCCCTGCGCGTAATGGAATGGAGTGCAGGGTGAAAACCCAACAGTTAGAGAACCCGGAAAATCAAGATTAACAACACAATTCCAGCCAGCACAACGAAGAGATATGTCTGAATCGCGCCGGTCTGGATCTGACGGACTCTACCGCCGACTGCCCATGTAACTTGGGCGACCCGATTGACGATGCCATCAACGACACGGTTATCAAAAGAGCCGATGAACACGGCGAGGAAATCGCGTGTTAAACGCCCAACACCGTTGACGATACCATCAACGATAATTCCATCGAATTGAGCTAAGAGCCGTGCTTTCCACACTGTCAACGCAACCAACACCCCGTCGTAAAATTCGTCGAAGTAGTATTTGTGCCAGAAGAGATTATAAAGCGGTCGGAAAGTCGTTGCGACAGATTCGGCAGACAAACTTCGCCTATGGTAAAACAACCATGAGAGCAATATACCTAATCCAGCAGCACAGATAGATAGCACCATTGCTATAGTATGTGCAGGACTGTGTCCATGATGACCCTCATCTGCGTGTTCGCCCTGTGTGTCGTGCTCGCCTTCTTCCGCTGCGACTGCTTCAGAAACGCCGAAAAGTGATAGTGCGAACTCCGCCTTGTCAACTTTGCTGTCAGGTGAGACATGCGCATGTTGCGGTGCATGAAGATGCGCTTGTTCTGGGGGTTTAACATAGTCCTTGTTAAACCAGAGTGTATTCACAACAGGCAAACTCAGAGCCGCCAGAATAAGGAGCGGCACGGTCATCGACTTCGGGGATTCATGTGCCATGTCGTGCATCTCCTGATTGCGCGGTTCACCGAAGAAGGTCATGAAAATCAGTCGGAACATATAGAACGCCGTAATTCCAGCCGCAAAGAGTGCTATACCGAATAGGAGATAGTGGTGTACAGAGTTCCATTCCATCGCCCGCTCCAGCACGCCACCCAAGATAGCATCTTTACTCCAGAACCCAGAGAAAACAAAGGGTACGCCAGAGATAGACAACGTTGCGATGAGCATTGTAACAAAAGTGATTGGCATCTTATGGCGCAATCCGCCCATGTTCCGCATGTCCTGATCGGGCGGAATCTCGGAACCGTGAGCATGTACTAAATCGTGATCGCCGTGCTCATGTTCGTGTGTATCGTGGTCATCGTGCGCGTGGTCGTGTTCATCGCCATGTGCATGGGCATGCATGGCGTGGAAGGCGTGGATGACGCTTCCTGAACCGAGAAACAGCAGTGCTTTAAAAAAGGCGTGTGTCGTGAGGTGAAAGAGACCTGCGACATAACTGCCAGCCCCAATCCCAAGCATCATATAGCCAAGTTGGCTAATCGTGGAGTATGCCAAAACCCGTTTAATGTCAAAGCGGACGATAGCGATAGTCGCAGCGACAATTGCGGTAATACCACCGATATAGGCAATTACCAGAGATGAGGTCTCCGTCAAAATAGGGAACATCCGAGCAGTGAGATATACGCCAGCGGCAACCATCGTGGCGGCATGAATCAATGCGCTGACAGGTGTGGGGACCTTCCATCGCATCAGGGAGCCATGTATGTAGGGGCACCTGTGCCGATTTACCAATAGCACCACAAAAGATGAGGACACCCGCGATAGAGAGCCATACCATATCACCTGTATTTAAACTGGCGACGAGGGCAAAAATACCGCCTTCTCCGTAGAGTGAGAGCGTCTTAAACTTAGCGAAGAGCATCATCATGCCGATGAACATACCGACATCACCGACACGCGTTGTTAGGAATGCTTTTTTACAAGCATTCGCGGCGGAATCCTTTTCAAACCAGAAACCGATGAGCAGATAGGAGCAGAGTCCAACGAGTTCCCAACCGATATAGATACCGAGCAGGTTATCCGATACGACCAAGAAGAGCATCGAAAAGGAGAAAAGCGAAAGGTAGGCAAAAAACCGTGGATATCTCGGATCGCCGTGCATGTAGCCCATCGAGAAAATATGAACGAGGCTACTGACGAGCGTGACAACAATCAGCATGATTGCGGTGACGCTGTCCAAGTAAAAACCCATAGAGAAGGTAACACTACCGAGCGAAATCCACTCAACTGTATGAGGTACTGGATCGGGGACGACCTCTCGCAGAAGCAGGAACGAACAGACGAGCGCAATGAGCATTGCTGCAGTGGATAGATAGTCCTGTCGCGGGAAACTCCGATTTTCCAAGCCCAAAAGTCCGAAGATTGCAAATGCGGCAAGCGGGCAAAGCAAGATGAGACTTATTAAGGGTACAACCATATTTTTTGGCTATGGGCCTCCTGATCCGCTTGCTGCCGTTGTTGCAAGCGGGTTTCTGATACGATCAACGATATCTGATTGAATCGAAGTTTTTAACCTTTTAAGGTATCCACTTCGTTGGGACGTATGGTCCCGAATTCGCGGTAGATAGCGAGGATAATGGCTAAAAAGACAGCGGCTTCCGCTGCCGCGAGCACAATCCCAAAAATAGCGATAATCTGCCCGCTGATGTCCTCCGGCGGTGTCATAAAACGCGAGAATGCGGCAAAGTTAAGATTACACGAGTTGAGAATAAGTTCAATTCCCATCAAAATACTAATGGCGTTCCGTCGGGTCAAGACGGCGAAGATACCGAGCGTGAACAGAATCGCGCTGATGACGAGGTAGTGTTGTAGGGTCATCTTTGGTGTAAAGGATTTAGTCCCTAACCTCCTTTCGGGAAATCAGGGCGGCTCCGATTAACGCGACTAACAACAGCACAGAGACGACTTCAAATGGCAGGAGAAATTGCCCATTCAGGATCAATTCGCCAATGCGTTCCGTTGTCGGTGGAAGCTCGGTGCCATCATCGGTGAGATTCTTCCATACGGGTGTATTCGCAATAACACTCAAGAGCAGCATGAGCAGTGACAGGGCAACCACACCGCCGAGCAGAAGCTGCCCGCGTTCAGTATGGCTAGCATGAATGGGTAGCTCAAAGTGCCCGCTTGTCATCATGACTCCGAATAGAATGAGGACGAGTATGCCGCCGACGTAGACAATCACTTGTGTTGCGGCGAGAAAATCAGCCTGTAAAAAGACGTAAAGCCCAGCAACGCCGAAGAGCGTCACCATGAGCGAAAACGCGGCGTGGACGATGTTTCGCACTGTGACAACAACGAGTGCGGAAGCAATTGTCATAAGGGCGAAGCCGTAAAAAATAAAGGTTTTGAGCGTAAATTCCATCTTTCTAACTTACCTTGCGGTTAAAGCACGGTGGTCTGGCTTATGACGATCCTTTCTTAAATCCGCTTTCCACTTCGTTTCAAGCTACGAGTTTGGTGCTAATATTTTCGCAATTTACCTTCTAATCCGCGGCATCTGTCTCCGTGGTATTGCCTTTATCGTACATCTCCTGCTTGTCAAAATGAAAGATTAGATCCGACCGGTCGAATTTAGAGTATGCAACACCAGCGAGTGTGTCCTTCATAGTAAGACACTCTGTCGGGCACACCTCGGTGCAAAGCCCACAATACATACAGAGGGACATATCAATAGCGAACTGATCGAGATAGAAAACGACCGGATTTCGGGTGACAACACGCGATACTTCGTCGCCGGAAAAGGTCTGAGTTCGACTCTCGAGACCCGATACTTCATGGCGGTCTATGACCTCCTGTGGACCTTGGCGAGAGGTGAGATTCGTGAGGGTTATCGAATCTTCCGACTTTATCTTTTTATCGTTGCCTTCAATAATACCGATGATTTCTCTTCCGTCCTTGAGATGTACGACGTTCATGCTATCCCAGAGTCGTTCACCTTTCGGGAGTTTAGTGGCATCAATAGTGATACAATCGACCGGGCAGATCATCTCGCACTTTTTGCATCCGATACAATCTTCAGTGCGGTTATAAAGCTGCCCGCGATACCCTTTTGGAATCTCCCGGACGTTTCGTTTCTTTTCAAAGTCGTGTTCATACGGGTATTGATGCGTGACGTTCGGTTCAAAGAACTGCCTGATTGTCACCCGCATCCCGATGAGAACGGTATAAACGCCTCTGTAGATGTTTCGTATGTATTTGTCCATATTTTAATTTTACCTTGCGGTGGAACAACGGACGCTTTCGACTTTCACGGCATTCCTTAAATCCGCCCTCCACTACGTTACGGGCTACCGGTTACGAGACTCTCCTAACCTAAGTTGCCACTTCATATTCACTGACTACCAATTGTTAATTGCTCATTACTCCTTGTGGTGCGGGGCTCTGTGCGAGCGTCCGCCCAGCAACTTTATACGCGGCGATAAGCCCAATATAGATAATCGCGCAGCTAATAGCAGTACTAATCAAGGTATCCTTCGGAAAAATGAGTCCCCAGATGCCAGTGCCTAAGATGTTAAAGAAGGCGATCGGGATAAAGTATTTCCAACAAAGATTCATCAACTGATCTACCCGTAGGCGCGGCAACGTCCACCTCAACCACATCATCAAGAAGACGAGTGCCAAAGATTTGATAACGAAACCGGGGAACCCACCGAGGATATTGTAACCCGGCAAAACCCCTTCCCAACCGCCGAGGAAAAGTGTCACCGCAATTGCGCTCACGGCGAACATATTCGCGTATTCAGCAATAAAGAAGAGTGCGAAGCGCATTCCGCTATACTCGGTATGGAAACCAGCCACGATTTCAGATTCGGCTTCGGGCAAATCAAATGGCGTCCGGTTTACCTCAGCAATAGAAGAGATAAAGAAGATAAAGAATGCGATAAAGGTAAAGGGGGTTCGGAAAATGAGCCAACTGAAAACGCCGTTGGATTGGCTTCCGACAATCTCCTGCATGCTCAAACTTTGGACGAGCATAACAACAGTGAGAATGGAAAGACCGAGCGGAATTTCATAACTGACAATCTGGGCGGCGGAGCGGAGCGAACCCAACAGTGACCATTTGCTATTTGAGGACCAGCCCGCCATTATCACCCCCATGACAATCACAGAGGAGATCGCCATTATATAGAAGATGCCGATATTAAAGTCGCTAACCAATATACCTTGACTGAAGGGAATAGCGGCGAAGACAGCGAAAGAGCAGGCAAAAATGATATAGGGGGCAAGAATGAAAAGGAGTTTATCGCCTTGTGGGGGGATAAAATCTTCTTTGAAGATGAGTTTTACACCATCGGCTAACGTTTGCAGTACACCCCACGGTCCGACGCGCATGGGACCCGTTCGGTTCTGAAAACGTGCGGAGACCTTTCGCTCTGCAAGCACCAATGCTAAGGGGAGTAATGGGACCAACCCCACAAAGATACCGGCACATGCGAACATGACGAGAACTGTGCCTATCTCCACAGGAAAATGCGAAGCAACCGCTTCCGGCAATCGCGGAAGTACAACGTTCTGTATAAATTCCTCTGCCCAATTGAGTTTATTTTGTAAGTTTATATTGGGTAAGAAACTTTCAGATATGTTGAAATCTGGGCTTGCAAGCATCGCCCTAAAATCCGACATCTGACCTCCTTATCTGGTTCGGTCAACTTCGCTATAAAGCGCGTTTACCGGTCCACTTCTCCCATCACAATATCAATACTGCCGATAATAGCGATAATATCTGCGACCATCAAACCTCGGCTGAGCTCCTGTAGTGCGCTCAAAGCACTGAAACACGGAGAACGTCCCTTGAGACGTACCGGTTTCGGTGTGCCGTCGCTGACAATGTAGAATCCGAGTTCACCGCGCGGGGCTTCACTGCGGAAATAGATCTCGCCTTTGGGTGGACGGACGGCTTTTAAATCCGCCATCACTGGACCACCGGGGAGTCCTTCCGCTAAAATCTGTCGCACAATCCGGATAGACTGCTTCATCTCATCCATACGTATTTTGTATCGACTCCAGCAGTCTCCAACGACCGCGCCTAACTCTGGGACGTCCACAGCAACAGGCACATCAAAGTCAAACCTATCATAAATAGAGTAGGGTTCGTCTCGCCGAAGATCCCAATCGACACCGGAACCGCGAAGGTTCGGACCTGTCGCGCCGTAGCTGAGTGCCATCTCCGCCGACATAACAGCGACCCGCGTCGTGCGTTCCGAGAAGATGCTATTTTTTGTCAGGAGATCGTTATAGTCGTCAATCAACGGTTCAAAATAGTCTAAAAATTCTTCGATTTCGTCCAAAAGATTCTGTTCGGCAATGGAACCCGGCTCCAGGGGGATAATTTCGGAAACCCCGCCGATGCGTATATAGTTATAGGTGAGTCGTGCGCCGCAGACCTTCTCGAAAAGCAGTAGCAACCGTTCCCGATCCCGGAATGCGTAGAGAAACGGGGTAAATGCGCCGATGTCCATCCCATAGGTTCCGAAAGAGAGGAGATGGCTTGCAATACGATTTAATTCACAGATAAGCACCCGCAAGTATTCCGCCCGTTCTGGCACCTCGAATTCCCGGCTCTCATCCGCCTCCATCAATTTCTCAACAGCGAGACAGAACCCCCAATTCTGATTCATCGCTGCCACGTAATCCATTCGGTCCGTAAAGGGAATAATTTGGGGGTAGGAGAGGTTCTCGGAGTGTTTCTCAAAACAGCGATGCAGGTAGCCGATGTGAGGAATTGCTTCCCGAACTATCTCACCATCCAATTTCAATTCCAACCGTAACACACCGTGTGTGCTTGGATGCTGAGGTCCCATGTTAACAACCATTTCATCAGCGAACGGTTTTAACTCTATAATTTTGCTTTCAGTCTGTGGTGTAGTTTCCATAATGCGGGTTCTGCAACGTTTTTCTAACTTACCTTGCGGACTTTTAATTTTACCTTGCGGAGGAACAACGGACGTTTCGACTTTGGCGTGCGTTCCTTAAACCCGCCTGCGCCGTTGTTGCAGGCTACCTTTTAATTTTACCTTGCGGTTAAAGCAGGGTGGTTTGGTTTATGACGGTCCTTTCTTAAATCCGCTTTCCACTTCGTTCCAAGCTGCGTTTCTTTTTACGTAGGACTTACGCGTTCTCTCCTATTTTTGGACTTTACCATTATATATAATACCATTTTTGCCGTTCAATGTCAAATCTTAACCTGTTTTTTCAGAGAAAGTCCGTATCGTAATTTGGATGTCATTCCTACGAGAAAATGTTACACCAGTGTAACATTGCATGCTCCGCATTCGCGTCCACAAACCAGCGTCCTGCCTAAGTTCCGAGGCATTCTGAATTCAATGTCAGCTGCGAAAAAATTGAAAAGTGTAATATTTCCAGATCGTGCCACACAAGACGAAAATTCAATATCCCTGACCTAATAAGGCACGCGCATCCCACGATAGAATTCGGGTTCCTTGTAATCTTTGCGTAGGGGGTATCCCTCCCAATCATCGGGAAGCAAAATGCGGTGGAGATTGCTATGTCCCTCAAAGAAAATTCCGTAGAGGTCATAAGCTTCACGTTCGTGCCAATCTGCGGTTTTCCATATCTGCGAAACGCTTGGGAGATGTGGATCGGTTTTCGGAACTGTCGTTTTCAAAACTACGCTATGTCGGTGCTGCATGGCATAGATATGGTAGACGATAGCGAGTTCTTCATCCTTGGCACTCAAATCAACACCGCTAAGGCACATCAGGGAATCAAATGCCAATGTGTCGGTTTCGGCGAGGTATTGGCAAACATCGGCGATTGCTGAGGAGGCAATGCGGATGTTCGGGTCGCCAGCGAGTTCGGTGTCAAAACCGAGGACGGCTTCACCAAACTGTGCGGTTAGGACTTGATAGATTTCTTCGGGTTTCACCTAATCTTCGGGCAGGAGGTTTCCCAATGCTTTAGTATTGGGAGGAATGCCCGCTCCTTTTTGTTTGAAAAAAGTTGTTAAAAATGCTATAATATTCCCTGTAGTATAAGGTTGCAAGTTAGGCTTCTGTTCGCTATCCCCGTGTGCGACTTGTGTAAAGCTACGGCACAATACGGAAAAGAAACAGATAAACGCTGGTGGCGGACAATTGGAGTGTATCGGGAAATGAAAGTGCGTAACTGCACATTCCCAAAATAGCACTCGTATTTTTTTTGGTTTCCCTGCTGCGGGGAAACCTCGTGGAGAGCGGTGGGTTGCCACCCTCTGTGAAGCGAGAAACATTAACGAAGCATGAGGCAAGTAGGCTTAAGCAAAACCAATGCCTTTAGGCTTGGGTAGTTGACGTATATCCTACTCCATGATCGCGATTACAAACCGCTCCTACCGTCGGACGAATTGGTATTTAGGTGGTGGTTTCGGCATTATCGCCTTCTGCAGTTTCAGTGCCTTCATGTGCGTACCACTCTGTTTTGGTAAAGAGTCTCTTCAGGAATGGTACGTGATCGCGTTTCGCGACCGTCTGGGTTTTAATCTTCTCTTGTAACTTGAGCAACCCTTCAATAAGTGCCTCTGGGCGGGGTGGACATCCAGGTACATAAACATCAACAGGAATAATCCGATCAACGCCTTTGAGGACATGGTAGCCGTATTGCCAATAGGGTCCGCCGCTGGTAGCGCAACTGCCCATCGAAATGACGTATTTGGGTTCCGGCATCTGTTCATAAAGGCGTTTGATCCGGGTTGCCATCTTGAGTGTCACCGTGCCAGAGATCACCATGAGGTCGGATTGACGGGGTGTCGCTCGCGGCACACCGGCACCGAACCGGTCGAGGTCGTAGTTGGAAGCGGCAGTCGCCATAAATTCAATGGCACAGCAGGCGAGTCCGAACGTCATGGGCCAGAGTGCAGAGGAACGTGCCCAGTTGGCGACGGCATCCACTGAGGTAACAATAATGTTTTTGTCTAACTTCTCATCAATTATCATGACTTTCTTCCCTCCGGACGGATTGGACTTCCAACTGCGTGGATCGGATCCACTCCAGGTCTCCCTTTGCCCAAACGTAGGCAAGCCCGACTAATAGAATAGTGATGAAAACGAGCATCTCCAAAAATGCGAAGAGCCCGAAGTCGCGGAAAACAACTGCCCATGGGAAAAGGAACACGACTTCCACGTCGAAGATTAGGAAGATGAGCGCGATGACGTAAAAGCGGGTGTTAAACTTAATCCGCGTATCACCGATCGGATCTTCGCCGCATTCATAGGGGATATACTTTTCGCCTGAGAATATCTTGGTCTGCAGGAAGCGAGAGACAGTGAGGTTTAGAACGACAAATAAACAGCCAACAACCAAGAAGATTAGCACATTTGCGAAGTTAAAAAGCATACTGGATTATCCTTGAGAACCGCGATGTCGCGAAAAATTTCGTGCATATACGACTTCATTGCTAAAATTATATATCATTTTACGCCAATTTGCAAGTAAAAATTCTTAAATGTTTTCATGGAGAACGTTATTCTATCCTTAGTGTAATCTGGTTAGATACAAGTGATGTCTTCCCACGACGCGATTTGACAGGGAGGTAAACATCCTTCACCACTTCCTTGTGTCTCTCTTTAATGAACTTTATCTGCTCCTGGTAATAGTTGAGCGCGTCCTGCTTTGCAGCAGTTTGAAGATTCGGGTCGCTCTGAATTCGTGTCAGATCCCGTTGCAATTCAAGCACTTCTGGGTGTTGCTCGATTATGGATTCCCGGTAAATCTCCAACTCAATCGCAAGCGTTGCGGTGTAAGTACCGGATTGTAACTGATAGTATCGCTGCAAATCTTTCAATGTCAGTTCTTGATTTGAGTCCGCTTTGAACTCAAACCCGTGAATACAGCGGATCGATTTTCCGTCTTGCGTTACATATTTCGGTGGATTCTCTTGTGTAATCGCGCGCTTCGGTTCGACAACTTGTCCGTTCGCGTCCGTCACTGTTATCTGCGTAAAGGCACCCTTTGTCGCAACACTAAAAAAAGGCACGAGAAGGTCAAATTTACCGTTCTGAATATTGAGTTCAAGAGGGATCTCTTCTTTCGCAGCATAACTTGTTTTAGGTGTCGAGAGGTGGAGTTCCGCGAGCGGGCGTGGTGATTCTTCCGTCTCTGTAGCGGGAGCAGGCGCGTCGGTTGCGGTTTGCATCGTCTGCAGATTTCCGAGGCACCCGGCAAGAGTAAGGACAAGTAGAAAGAGACAAAGGGGAATAGATTTTGTGACAGCTTGCCTGTCAGGGTTGCAAAGCATCATTTATGACTCCTAATATGTTGTTAAAGCGTAATGCCGAATCCGGTTCGGGAAGGCACGTCAATAAATCCATCAACGATTTCTTCCGGTGGATCAATGAGAGAAGCGCGCCAGTCTACTTCTCCCCACGCGTATTCAAGGATTGCGAAATTCGGGACACTCGCCATGCATTGTACACTCGCGGCAGTTGCGACGGGACCGCTCGGATTGTGAGGTGTTACCATGACATTTCGCGCCGCCGCAAGCGTCGCAATTTTTTTCAACCCCGAAATTCCACCAACATGCTTGACATCCGGCAAAATATAATCAACGTGTGTTTGGGTTAGCAACCTATCAAAATCCGTGAGGGTTCGTAAGCGTTCGCCGGTTGCAATCGGGATACCAATGGATTGACTCATATAGGCGAAGGCATCGAGATTATCCAGCGGCACGGCATCCTCAATCCAGAAGAGGTGCAAGTCCTCCAGTTCCTTAGCGACTTGGATGAGAATACCGGGATTAAAACGACTATGGCAATCCACCATCAGATCGATGTCGCTACCAATCGCTGCGCGAATTGTGCGAATGCGATCAATTCCCCGTGCAGATAGCAGGGGTTAGCGTTCCGCGCGAAATATTCGCGACGGAAACATCATCAAAGGGTGCACATTTTATGGCAGTAAACCCCTCAGCAACGGCGCGCTCTGCATTGTGGGCAAAACCGAAAGGACTGCGATCGACTGTCGCACGGTTGATATTGGCGTAAAGACGGATTTTTTCTCGACACTTGCCACCCAATAGATGATAGGTCGGCACATTCAGAGCCTTGCCTATCAGATCGCACATCGCCTGCTCAATCCCGCTGAGAGCCGTATGGTAGGTATGGCTTTCAGAGTCGTGATAGAAACGCTGGCGAAATGCCTCCAATTGAAACGGATTCCATCCGACGAGCGTAGATTTGAGGGTGTTAATGATGTGTTGGATGCTCGCGTCATCCCTACCATGGGAAGCCTCGCCAACACCGACCGTGCCATCGTCAGCATGGACTTTAACGAAGAGCCAATTACCGCGGTGATTTACCTGAACGACTCGCAGTTTCTATGTTTGCGATTTTTAGTGTGGGCATTTACGTTTAATTTAAAATAATGGAGCGGCGAGGCATAGGTGCCTCGCCTTACAGAACTTTTTGGCGTAGTTTGCAGGTTTCCAAAACTTGCTACACAAAACTACGATGCTGCTGCCCATTTCACACCTTGGGTGAGGAATTTCTGCATTCCGGCGCGCTCAAAGGTCCCCGGTCCGTGTCCTAAAGTGGTGTAAAAGACGCGTCCAGAACCGTAAGGTTTCACCCATGCCATCGGGTGCGCCTTGCCGAACCACTCAGCAGATGCCAACACGTGAATGTGCGGATCGTGGGCGGAGATATAGATTTCATCTTCCACATCAAAATCTTCAATGCCTTGGGTCGTCGGATGCTCGCTATCCTCAATATGGACAGTAAAAGTCGAGCCGGGTGGATGCCAATTAGAATGTCCACCGATAAGATCCACGGCGCGACCGCCGATCCACCACGCAGTCCCGTGAATACCGACCAACCCTTTGCCTTCACTGACGAATTGGAACAAACCGTTCTCCTCAGCTGGGGCTAAATCGGAGACACGAGCGGTGGAACCGTCCGCTTGACGCTCTGTCCGCGTGAAGCCGGTGCCAAAGACACACGCATCGTAGGTATTTAACTCCGATGATGCTAAAATTTCTTTATCGTCAGTTAACGTCGCTGAGATATTAGCATCCTCAGAGAGAAAATCGTGAATGATGCTGGCACTTGCATTGAAACCGTGATTTTCACCTGATAACACGAGAATTTTCGACATGAGAGCCTCCAATGTAAAGCAAAGCCAAATTGTGAAATTATGGCACAATTCGGAAACGGCACTGAATTCGCCGCTTACGATGAGAAATCGAACGTAAGAACTGCAATTTGTGGAGATAGTTTAATTGAAAATCAAAATTGTGTCAAACCAATTCTCAGAAAAAAGATCAGGGTCATTTAGTTCTTCTGTAGGAGGGAACTCCGATTCCCGACAACCCCCAGTACGAGCACCCTCTGAATCGCGCCTTTCCAACCCAAGTGGTTAAAAAACCTAAAACTGAATGGCTCTGCAGAAAAAAGATTAGATTGTTTTGACAATAATATGGCATCATGATACAATAGAATTGAAATCTAAATAGAGAGTCGGGAGCGCATGGCAAAAAATAACATTACATTAACGTTTGGGCAAATTGTTGCAGGGAGCGTCATCGGGCTGGTAGGTGGCTGGATTTGCCTGCTGATATTTGAGAATCTTATTTGGCAATTACTACTTGGGAACCGAGTCAGCCACGGCTTCTGGGTAGGTTTATTCCTCCTCATCTCGCTGAGTGTCACGTATGGGATTGTGATTGTAGGGGCAAGCACAGGGATCCGCTTTGTGAGTCGAAAATTTGGCACCGATATTCCTCTAAAATCGCTTTGTTCGGGTGCATTTTTGGGTCCACCTGCTGTCGTCGGTTTGCTTGCCTTACTCAACGTTCCGTGGGAAATATTTGGTAGACCGAATCTGATCTTGGCGTTGCTCCTTCCAGTTCTCAAAACACTTGCGTATATTATCTCGTTACCCATGCGCGGGTGGGTGCACCTCGGTTTGCCAGTCGAAATCTGGTACATTCTTGCTGTTCCTATCGGTGCAATATTAGGATACAGGTTAACACCGGTAGAAAACACGGAAGTGAGTGCAGAACAGGCTTAAATTCAGGAAAGGCTTCTTTAATGAACAGTTGCGAAAAATCAAGCGTGCACGCTGGAGGTTTCACCCGTCAAAATGCAATACGATGATAAACCAAAGGACGAATGCGGTGTATTCGGCGTTTTCGGCCATCCAAAAGCGGTAGAATTGACGTATTTAGGGTTACGCGCCCTTCAGCATCGGGGTCAAGAAAGTAGCGGTATTGTTGCATCAGACGGAGAGAAGTTCACATACCATCACGGTATGGGCCTTGTTCACTCTGTCTTCACGGCTGATGCTTTAGCGAAACTGAAAGGGCATATCGCTATCGGACACAATCGGTATTCAACGGCAGGGGCAAGCACGCTTGAAAACGCGCAACCTCTGGTTCGGAACTACAAGCAAGGTCCCCTCGCGCTTGGTCACAATGGCAACCTTGTCAATGCGGTGCAAATTCGGAATCATTTAGAGAATGCCGGTTCCATCTTTAGCACGAGCTTAGATACTGAAGTTATTTTCCACTTGATAGCGCACTCGCGGAAGGAGGCGTTGGAATATAGAATTATTGACGCGCTGCGAAGTATTGAGGGTGCGTATTCGTTTGTATGCATGGATAAAAACACGCTGATAGGCGCACGCGATGCCCACGGATTTCGACCTCTCTGGCTCGGTAAGCTTGGTAACGCATACGTGTTAACTTCCGAGACGTGCGCGCTTGATGTGATTGAAGCGGAACCAATACGTGAGGTAGAGCCAGGGGAGTTAATATTTACACGTTCCAACTATCGCGGTGTAGAGTCGTTTCGTTTTCATAAGAGACAATCGCAATTATCGCAGTGCATCTTTGAATATATCTACTTGGCGCGACCCGATAGCATGATGTTTGGGCAAAGCGTGAACAACACGCGCCGCGAATTTGGCAGACAGCTCGCCCGCGAACACCCTGTCAAAGCAGATGTTGTTATCCCAGTGCCTGATTCTGCAACGATCGCCGCTCTTGGATACGCCGAGGAATCTGGCATTCCCTTCGATTTAGGGCTGTCTCGGAACACTTTTGTCGGTCGCTCCTTCATGAACCCGACGCAGGATATCCGAGAACTGATGGTGAAGATAAAATTGAACCCCGTGCGCGATGTGCTACGTGATAAACGAGTCATCCTCGTAGACGACTCAATCATGCGGGGGACAAACAGCAGGAAACTCATCAAAATCGTTCGGCAAGGCGGCGCGACAGCCGTCCATCTCCGCATTGCATCCCCACCGAATAAATTCTCATGCTTCTATGGTGTGGACACACCGACCCGTAGTGAGTTAATCGCGAGTTCACATACAATTGAGGAAATCCGCAAATATAGCCGCGCTGACAGTCTCGGTTATTTGAGTATCGAGGGACTGCTCAATTCAGTAGAAACACCTCAGGATTTTTGTACCACCTGTTTTGATGGAAAATATCCGATTCCGTTTGTGGAGGAATCTTCACAACAACTCCCCTTAATCGTGGATTGAACACGGTCTTAACATGGACTTGGAAGTGCGCCTCACAAGGAAAGTTTTTATGCAGTATAGGCAACGTGGCAAACAGAAAAAACCGAGTCCGATAGGTACAGCGCAAGGGCAACACACGCTTATCTCCCTGCTCGGTTGTGCTATCCTTGGTATGGTTCTGAGCAAGGCTCTTCCCTTTCTGATAGAGAAACTGCAGCCGGATATGAAAGCAGAGGAGGCGGAAGAGATTGGTGTTCTCATAGCCTTAGGCATTAGCGGTATTGTGTTAGTCGTTAGTCTCTTAAGACCAAGGAGAAGCACTTCACGGCTTCGTAGAAAATTATTGAAGGGACAAGAGAAATCAGATGGCAGATAAAAAGCCTTTGACGTACGCCGATGCTGGCGTTTCATTTGAAGCAGAATCCGAGGCGATATCACGGCTTAAACGCCTTGTTCAAACCACCTATCGACCTGAGGTGCTCAGTGATGTCGGAAGTTTTGGCGGGCTTTTTGCACTCAAAACCTATCGAGAACCGGTTCTTGTTTCCAGTACGGATGGCGTTGGCACAAAACTAAAGGTCGCGTTTAAAGTCGGGCGGCACGACACGGTCGGTTTCGATATTGTCGCACATTGCGGCAACGATATCGTCGTGCAGGGAGCAGAACCCCTCTTCTTTTTAGATTACATCGGCATTAGTAAGGTAGCACCGGCGATGATTGAAGAGATCGTAGCGGGCCTCGCATCAGGATGCAGAAAGATCGGTTGTGCCTTAATCGGCGGTGAAATCGCAGAGTTGTCAGATATTTATACACCCGGTGAATACGACTTGGTGGGAACTATTGTCGGTGCGGTTGAAAAAGCCGACGTGATCACCGGAGAGAGAATTACGCCGGGAGATCAACTCATCGGTTTAGGGTCCGCAGGTTTACATACGAATGGCTTTACATTAGCTCGACGTATTCTGTTCGACAGGTGCAATTACAGTGTAGACACCTACGTCCGTGAACTGTCTGCGACAGTCGGGGAGGCACTGCTTGCCTGCCACAAAAGTTACGTGAATTCTATTCTGTCCCTTCGTAAAGTATGCGACATTAAAGGTCTTGCCCATATCACCGGAGGCGGTCTATCAGCAAATGTGGCGCGGATCCTCCCAGATGGGTGTACTGCCTATATTCGGAACGGCACATGGGAGATTCTGCCTATTTTCTCGTTTTTACAGGCGAAAGGGGACGTTGAAGCGGCAGAAATGTACAGAGTTTTCAATATGGGAATTGGGATGGTAGTGGCAGTCGCGCCTGATGCCGTTGATGCTGCCCTGGAGTCTCTTAAAGCGTCTGGGGAATCCACTTATCGAATTGGTGAAGTAATCCCGGGAGAAAAGGGGGTCCAAGGTGTCCCTTCCTAACACAGATTCACAGACCACACCCACCTTTTTAGATGAAGCGGCTCTGCAAGAACTGACGGACTTGCTTGACGAAACGCACCCACAAGTGGCGTTGGCAGCATTCCAAAGTGTCGACGATAGCGATGCGGCAGTGTTTTTAGTTATGTGTACACACTTAAAAAGTGAATCCATGGGAAATGCTCTCGCCACGCATGCCGGAAAACTTTTCGCGCAATTACCTTTTGATAAACAGGTTAGTATCGCTGAGAAGGTGACGACGACGGAGACGGTTGACTCCGAACACGCGATGCAAATTTGGAATGAACAGATCACTCGGATTAAGGAAGCGATCCAAAAAACCACCTTCTTGGGTGAAGGCACAGCGAACCTTGCGAAATTGTTATCATATCTGGATATAACAGAACAGAATGCGTTACTGGAAGCGTTAGGCGAAAAGCAACCCGGAGTGGTGGATAGCGTCTCTGAGCAGTTGTTTACGTTTGAGGACTTGGGGAATTTGGAGAATGAAGCAATCAGAACTATTTTACAAGTACTGGACACCCCGACCTTAGCCCTTGCCCTACACAACGCCCCGGCTGCCATACATGACCGATTCTTTGAAAATATGTCAGCATCGCAAGCAGAAGCCGTTGAGGCGGAAACTGCTCAACTCACATTTGAACAGACGCAAATAGCCGACACAGCACGCCATTCGGTTGTGAACATGGTTTGGAACTTCGCAACAAAAGGCCTGCTAAAAATTGGGTGAACGTCGGATTTGCGCTATCTTTTCCAGCAACTACATCAAAACATATGAGATAACGGTCAGATAGACTCAGCAGTAGAACTACTTTTTGTCTTTAAGCGTAAAAGAATAAGGGATCTCAACCTGAAGGCTGACCGGGTTACCACCTTTTGTGGCAGGGCGGAAAGTTGTTTTCTTCAACGCCGCAATCGCCGCCGCCTCAAATCCAAACCCAATATCTGTAATCGCTACAATGTCCCGCGGAATGCCCTTCTCATCAATGGTTGCCTGCAAGAGGACCTGACCTTCCTTGCCTGCCTTTGAGGCAGCTTCGGGATATTTGGGTTCCGCCTTGAACTTGTATTGTGGTCTAACGATGCCGGGTTCGGTCTTAAAATCAACACTATCCAACCCAGGTGAATCATCGGGAGCAGGCGTGTCGAGCTTGTCAATCAGTGTTGGTGCCTCACGCTGTATCTCAAATCCCGGTGCCTTTGCATCGGGGTTCAATCGCCGTTGAGGGCTGTACAAAACTGCGATCGACATCTATAAGTCTTGGTCCCTCATCGGTGCCGGGTGTTGTGAGGTCTCCCGTAGTCCCGGGACCATCAGGGATTGCAAATGCGTCACTCGATAGCGGCTGGTTGGTGACAGTCTGCACGGGTCGTTGGACAAGGATTTTCTGCTGATTCTGTTTTGCCTGATTAAATTTCGGTGCTTCCCTACGTATGAACCTGCGTTTGGTTTTTGCATCTTCTGTAACGATACTGATATCAAACGTCTCTTGTTCAAATTCAATCCGGTCGGCGATATAGAAGACACCAATGATAATCGCTATAAGGGCATGAAACACCATTGCGACTACAAACGCGGTGGAACTCCGTTTAACGTGCATTTGTGTGACAGGATGTTTCGGCAGGTTTGTTTTCGCCGTGGAAATGCCGTGCTGCTGGCTGGCATCAAGTGAAACCTTTTTCAATGCGACAAAACGCTTCGGTTTTTTACGCTCTGCCCGGTGCTGCTGCATCTGACTGAGCATGCCGGAAGCTCTGCTATTCATCTGTTTTCCTCCTATTATAAAGAAAAAGGGAATTATCTCGGTCTCAGCACACTGCTCGCGCGTGTTTTCTATATTAAGAGGTCGGCTAAGATGGTCTTAGAAAAAATACCTAATAATCATTAGTGGTTGCGAATCCCTATTTTAACGTGAGTTCGATAAAAGGAACCTCTACTTGTACCGCAACGTGTGAGTTTGCGCGGAATATGCCACAAACTAAAAGTTTGTGCTACAATTTATGTTTTTAACACGCGAAAACGGCACCTTTAGACGGACAAAATGCTTAAGTCGAACTGACGTTAGGCAACAACTTGAGTTAATTATAACACATTTCCAGTTTTGTGTCAACTTTTAGCATTAAAGCAATAGAAGTATACAGTTTTCAGCAAAATAGCCGTCAGTAAAGAAGGTTTTCTCATAACCCTCGGTTTCCTTTTTTAGGTGATAGTTTCCCAAAACCGATGGGGTACCCGCTGATAGCCAATATTGTCGGGAATCGGAGTTCCCTCCTACCGATAGGAAGATTGAAATTCGGGGAGCACTGAATGGCTCGGTAGGAACTGTTTCAGTTTTTATGCTACGGATTCCACCAATATGTTACCTTCCCAACCACCGTTGAATCCAATAGACGAGATCGAGTGGTGCCGTTGGTATCATACGTTTGATTGAAAACGAAGTAGAAATCGCTTCCTGGACGATAGATATAATTGATGAGGAAGTTGGTAGACACAACGTTCGTATCCGCATTCCACTGTGCAAATAGTTTTGCAAAGAGTCCGGTAGTGAAGGAATAGTCAAGTCTGCCTCTAAAAAGATTGACGAAGACAGGGTGCGGTTGCCCGTCGGTAAAATACACTTCCGGTAGATCCACTACCTGATTAAACTGATATTGTGCACTCAGGCTTATATGCCCATTCGGTTTAAAAGTGGTTTGTATATATGCTCTACGAACTTTGCCTTTGTAGAAATCCTCTATGCCGCCCCCGAGGGTTGTACTGATCAGACGGCTATCGCTACTGGAGACACGGACGCGGTATGAGTTAGACGAGTAGTCGCCTATCGGAATCTCTACGCCGTCCCTGAAATTGAAAACGTCGTTCAGAGCGTTCAAAGCTGCGTCTCCCGTTGAATAGGATATAATCTCCAGAGTTAAATTCAAACCAGTTGGTGTAAGAAATGTCCCACTCTTCCAATTCGTTGTCGTGATTGAGGATATAGTTCATCTCTGGTCCGGTCCAAATTTGTCGGATTCCGAACCTTTGGGGCATGGGTACCCACCGCATTTCACCGCGGAGGTGTCGGATGCCAGTACGTCTCACGTATCCGACTGCCGGATTGAAATCCTCATCAATGTCGGTATATGAACCTTCCACACGAAACCGATTGCTCCGCCAATTGGAACCGATGTACCATGCATTATTTCGTCCAGAAGCATCCGGTTCAAACGTGCGAGACCACAATCCGCGGACATCCACGCTGTCATTGGGACGGTATTCAAAGTCAAAACCGCCTGCGCGATTATAGTCGTCAATTTCATCTTTATTGATAGCAATTATGCCGATGCGGGAACCCGAGGCAACGTCCTTTGTAATTCGCATTACAGAATAATTAGTATGCGGAACGTCAAGTGGACCATCTTCTGTATCAGCATCATAGAATTCATCTGTGAGGACGTTGAGAAACCCTACACCGTAAGACCCCACTTTGCCGCTCGTCTTTCCACCGAAGATAATCGGGATCGCGTTTCCTTCAGCAAGTCCAATGCGTCGGCTATAGAAAAGGAGCATCGGTGGCGGTCGGCGGAAGCTGGTCCGCGGCACGCCAAAATCGAAAAGTCCGGCACCTTCCAAAAAGAAGGGACGCTTTTCAGGGAAAAAGAGACTAAATCGGGTCAGGTTCACCTGTTCTTCATCGGCTTCAACCTGCGCGAAGTCCGTGTTATAGGTGATGTCTGCAGTCAGGTTTGACGTAATGCCGTATTTGGCATCAACACCAATCTTGAACTTGCCTTCAGTTTTAAGCCCTGCGTCATTCCCGTTAATTTGGGTCACGCCGGGAAGGATATATGGCAGCACCTCTAAATTTCGAGAGGCGGTAACGCCTGAAAGCCCAACAAGTCTTCCGAGGTTAGCAGTTCGGTACTTTGCCATGCCGCCATAGGATGCCGGAACAGGGACCCATATCATCTCTTCTTGATTTCGGGCGAGTTCGCGACCGGTGTTCATACCCCATACTATCTGATCGCTCTGCTTGAAACGAAGTTGACTAAATGGAATACTCAGCTCGGAAGTCCAATAAGTGTCGTTGATTTTCGATTTACATTTCACAACGGCGTCCCAATTCCTGTTGAGTGTGTCACCACTGTTCGTTACAGCTCTGTCCTGTATCGCACCAAGGGCGTTCATGCGGAAGAAGAAGCCACTCCTCCGGTCGTTATACGTATCCAATATCAAGAACACGGTGTCATTGTCGTGCAGGTCACGGGAATCTCGGCGCATCTCATTGGCGACCAATTTCGATATATCTGAATCGAAACAGGTAAAGCCGAAGTAGATATTCTCGTTATCGTAGAGAACCCGAACCTCCATTGATTCGGAACTGATTTCGCCTTCATAGGGTTCAATCTGCACAAACTCGTCAATCGGTTCGGCGTGTTTCCAATCCTCTTCCGTTAAATCACCGTCAATCTCAATACTTTTGGTAGGTGCGATATGCCTTAACTTGGTGATCGTGCGATTCGGCGCGTACGTTGGTAACAACGGTGTTCAATAGCAGAATAAGGAATAGGGGAATTGTGATTCTTCGGAATTTCGGTGAAGAAGATAGATAGTCGTCCAAAAGCGTCGTCTCCTTTCATCCTTTCAAAATAAAGATGTGGTTAATATAAAGACGAAAAAAGAGGCAAATTGGCATATATAAATTTCAATTGGGCGGGTTTATCAGAATTCCAACGTCATCGCCACAAACGGGATAATCGGCAATTGTGAAACAGGTTCCTCTTTTGTAAAATTCCGACTGTAGCGGACTTCAAGTATGTTGTTGCGGTTATAAACGTTCCATATCTCAAGGGCAAACCCCAATTCCCACCCCTTATCCTCTAAATCGCCTAACAAACTAAATCGGAGGCTTAGGTCTAACCGGTGATACGGTGGGGTGCGCTTCCATTCTCCGTAAATTGGTTGCCACTTTTTTTCCTTCGTCCGAAAGTTCGTAAAAGGGGTACGGCCTACTAAAGGGGCATAGAGTACACCGCTCTGGTATTGCCACTTTGCGCTTATGTCCAATGCCTGGATGAGTGGAACCGAGAGGAGTAGTTCCTCGGGGGCACTGTAACTCGTCGCGACGGTTAACACGTGTGGACTATTGTAGGTATAAAACCGGTGGAATTCTTCAGGAAAATCGCGGCGTTTGGAAACTGTGTAAGCATACGCCACCCACCCGTCAAAGGTGTCGGAAATTTTGTGTTCAAAAGAAACTTCAAACCCACGCACAAATCCTGCCTGACCGTTCTGATACTGCTTCTCATCTTTACTGTAGATAATGAGATCTTGCAGTGTTTTGTAATAGCCGGCGATATTCACCCTCGCACCGAAGGGTAGCGTTTGTCTCAACTCAAGAACGTAATGCGTCGCGAGACTCTGTTCAAGAGATGCGTTTGGTGTTACACCCAGCACAAACTGATCTAATCTTGGATTCTGTGCATAGCGTCCATAACTGAAGTATAGAAACGCTTCTCGTGGAAGTCTGTAACGAAGTTGTGCCCGTGGCTGAAGGGATAGGTTATCCGTGAGATTAAAGTAACTCGCTCGCAGTCCGAAAGTGCCTAAAACGTTAGAAGTGAACAGGTTCTGCCGAGCCTGGAGATACCCTTCCAAACGATGGAGGTTTCGGGTCTCAGTGACATTAACTTTTTCCAGGTTCTGCCGAATCCGGTATTCATAATCAGGATCTCCCTCTTCAACCCGGCGCGCCCCATGACTCGTAACGGTTGAAGGGGTACTCGAAAGTAAGTAGCCGAACTCTACAGCCTCATCAGTATTCTCCGAGGATGTGGTATAAGTGAAATCATTTCGGAGCGCGTAGACAGAGGCTGCCGTCCGGTAGTAGTACTCTTCACCAAAAGCGATTTCATTTTCTGTAAAGGAACGCGTGAATGACAGAATAGACCGAAATCGCGGCAATAACCGAGAGTAAAAATGGATCCCTTGGACATCAAAAGGGTTTTCCGAGCTTAAGGGACCGTCGAGATCGCTGTCATGGACTTCATTTGATCCCAATTGCAATTTAGATGCGTCATACGCCGTGACAGCGTTAAGCACTATTCCATGGGTTTCATTGAGTTTATAAATGCCCTTTAACTGATAACTCCAAAAACGTGGCACCTGTCGAACCAGGTCCTCAAGTTCCACTAATCTCGAAGCCAATTCAAAAAATGGCTCCAGAGAGCTGCGTCTACCGAAGGCGTACCAATAACCTTGCCGTGCCGATAGTCTGTTTTCCAAGAACTCTTGATCGGTACTCGCCGGTTTTTCACCCGTTTCGTCCGCATCTCTGCCGAATATCTGAGGATCGCCGAGAAGTATATCTTTGGAAAGATGGAAAATAGACGGTCTTTTATCCGTTTCGTTTGGAACATTGGCAGCGGGTCTCTCTCGAAAGGATAAAGCACCACTGAGAAAGCCTTCGGAATAGATAAAACTGGGTTTTAGCATTCCATCCAACCACCCTAAAGACTCCAGCTTTTGCGGACGGGAATGGATATCAATAACCGCCTGCGAGTCGGCACCGAATTCAGCACCAAACCCACCCGGATGCACATCAATTTTTCCAATGACCTCGGAACTCACCACCGAAACAATACCGAGTAGATGATAAGGGTATCCTAACGGCAATCGATCGAAGTAGTAAAGATTATCTCCCGGTGCGCCGCCTCTCACAGAAAGTGCCCCGAACAAATCGTTAACTGTGCCAACGCTCGGAAGTCGGGATATTCCGCGAATTGGATCGCCAGCACTGCCTGTAGCGCGCCTGAGCAAGTCCCCACTCAGTGTATGTTGTAGTCTTTTTTCCCATCGTTCTGCTTCGACCTTTACCTCTTCTAACGTGGTAACAGGTTGCGATGCTTCATCCTTTGCAGCGTCTGATTCAGCCGCATCAGCCTCATCAGTCTGTCCGAAGGCACTCAAGGGTAGTATGAGAATTAGAAGGATTAATATCCGTTTCAGGTTTTTGTCTCTTCGGGAAAGCCGTCTAAAATTCCGCTGTAATCCCCAAATAAGGAATGATAGGTAATTGGTTAACATCTTCACGCTTTGTGTAGTTCTCGCTATATCTGTAATCGAGCAAATTCTTTCGGTTATAGGCATTTAGGAGTTCCAAGAAGATCCCTAACTTCCATCCTGTAAATTGGAAGATTTTACTGACGCGCAGGTCGAGTCTGTGATAAGGAGGTAACCGATCAGAGTTGGTTTCAGCATAAACAGGGACGTAAATAGGTTTACCGTTTCTTGGATCAAATCGGAGGATTGCGTCTTCAACGGGTGTATATGGGTTACCAGTGCGGTACTGCCACTTCGCGCCAAACTCCCACGTAGGCGTAAGGTTGTAACTTGCGGCGAGCGTAGCGACGTGTGTCTGATCAAAAGAATAGAGGCGATAGGGTGCATCCACACGGTCGCGGCGTTTAGATAAAGCATACGCGTAGGCAACCCAAGCAAAAAGTCGGTCGCCGCCCCGATGCCGTAGAAAAATCTCGGTGCCTTGCGCATAACCGGCCCCTTGATTCAGATAACCGACTTCTTCGTCAACAGTCACTAAGTCGGCAAGGTTTTTGTAATAGGCTGCCATTTTGATTTCTGTATCTTGTGAAAGTTGCCGTTTAAGTTCAAGAATGTAATGACTTGCCTGACTCGACTTCAAGGCAGGGTTGCCAATACTCGGAGAGAGTTGTGGTGGCAGCGGGGTCTGATTGTAAACCCCATAGGCAAATTGGAGTTCAGAATTGTTGGGGAATTCCACGAGTACACTGCCGCGCGGCTGGACAGAAAGCTGATCAATGCGATTGAAATAATCAAACCTGAGTCCAAACACAACTGACAAAAACGGCAGTAGTGTGTATCTGTCTTGCAAATAGGCTTCGACGCGATGCCCGCGCACATACTCGTCTATGGATACTTTTTCCTCGAACCGGATGTCAAAGTCAACCTCACCTTCATCGGGTATCCGAGTGAAGGTTCCAGAAACTTGTCCGGGTTCAAATCCGAGGATCAACCCAGATTCCAACCGATGCTTCGGGTTTAACTCATAAGTGAGATCTTCGCGAAGCACATAGTCTGGTGCATCAATTGCGAGTGAAAGTGATGGACCGAAATTGACATCAAATAGAAATTTTGAACGGGTCAGTGATAAATAGGAGGTGAGCCTTTCTGTCAGGAAGGAGCGGAGGTGGATCCCTCCGCCCTCAAAACCGCTTTCAAAACTTATGTTCCCTTGAAAATCTTCGTCTACATTTTCACCATCCAACTTCAGGGCAAATCGATCGCCAGAAGCAAAGAGATTAAAAAAGAGTTGATGTTTTTCGCTGAAGTCGTAGCCCGCCTTCAACTGATAATCCCAGAAACGCGGAAAGGCAGTGATCGCCCCTGTACCAAATGACAAGGATCCGATGAAAAGGTCAATGTAACTTCTGCGACCCGCGGCATACCAGTAGCCCTTCTCGCCGACCTTGCCTTGAAGCAATCCCTCTGAAAAGAGGAGATTGAGATTAAATTTTCCACGTAAACCTGCTGGGCTGCTGTCCTGAGAATAGATGTCAATTACGGCTTGAGAATCCACGCCATACTCGGCACCGTAGCCACCAGCATAGACATCAATTCGATCAATAATTTCGGAACTCAAGGATGAGACGATCCCACCGAAGTGGTACGGATAACCGATAGGCACCCGGTCGAAATAGTAGAGGTTATCGTCATCGGAGCCGCCGCGGATATAGAGGGCACCGCTAAAATCGTTTGCGACACCGATGCCGGGAATCGCTGGAAGGGCACGAAGTGCATCACCGGCTGTACCGGGTAGGCGTGTAATTTCCTGCGCTTGAAGGCTTTTTTTACTGACAGTCTTAGGAGCCTGTTCACCGGTTACCTTGACACTTTCAAGACGATACTGCGTTGTTTCGACATAGATTTCAGGTTCCAGCGTCTCTTCTGCCGTCACAACAATAGAGGTGCGTTGCGACAATTCAGTATCGGGCACCGTGGTAATTAAAGTATAAGTTCCTGCGGGAATAGCACTAAAAACGAACTTTCCATTTTCATCAGTTTTCTGACGTGTGTCGATTTCAACGATGAAAACTTCTGCCCCTGCTAATGGTGCTTTTGTACTATCGTTATAAACAGTGCCCTGAATTGTTCCTGTCTGGGAAAAGGCAACCGCGGGAATCCACAATACCATTAGTAGGCATAAAAGAGTCTTCATGAAAACTGGCAACTCCTATCCGTGTTAGAAAATTGTATGCGATATATTCAACGTGAGTCCGATTTAAGGGTTTACAGCATGCGAGCAGGAAGTTCGGTTGCCTCTGTCCATTAAAAAAAGGAGGAGAAAACGGAATGCGTTAACACTATGTAGGTTAGCCCGTGTAAACAGCATCTACTCATTGAGACCTGCTGAGATATTGCCTGAGATTCTTATGCGGAACTCACATTATCCTATAAAAGTATACAATTTCCCTTTTCAGAATTGCCAAAGGAATGTGGGATTTTTAGTTTTTTGGAAGGATGAAGGGCGAGCGGCGTTGCTCGCCCTTCGTGTTTCTATGTTAGCGCGCGATTGCCTCAGTACCAAGGTTTTCTTGAATCCACGCGCGAAGTGGGACATCCTTTTCACCGGGAGATGTAAAGCCATGTCCGCCCGTACTTTTGCCCATAATCTGTTGACGAATCGGATCAGAGCATTCCATGTAATGTTCCACCGTCATGTCATCGCGTGGCTGCAACCATCGGTAACTGTAGCCGTAAAACAGCACTTTTCGGGTGATGTCAGAGGTATTCCGTCCTGCGGAATGCCAGAGCCTGCGATCGAAAAAGACAGCTGTCCCCGGTTTAGCGAATACAGACGTTGCATTCTCAGGATCCGTCGTAGCGTCATCGGGCATCTCCAATGTATTCGACTTGTGACTGCCCGGCACCACGGAGAAATTGCCACGACCCGGTACAGATGTATCGGTGAGGAAAAATGCTACCTTCAACGATACGCGCGGTCGCGGGTCACCCTCCATTTCAAAATTGAGTCTACCACTATCTTGGTGCCAACCGAGGCGTTTAGATTTATCACGCTCTTCTGGTGGGAGCGGCGGTAGCACAATCAGATGTGAATGGTAGAGTTTAATGTTCCACCCCAAAATTCCCCAGACTTTCGGAAAGGTCGTGTGCCAGTCAAGCAGTTCGATAAAGTTTTCGTCTCTACCGACAAAATCGAGGAGGTTAAACTGTGCATCGGGCGGAAGTTCGTCTTTGCCCAGATGCTCTGCCCCGACGCGGTCAACAGCGGCAATCAACTTATCAACCATCTCTTGCGGGATGGCATCCTCAACCGCAAGGAAACCGTTGTCTTCAAATTGCTGTTTTTCTGTTTCGGTCAAACAGTGTTCCAAACATAGCGGGTTCATCATTTTTCCCCTATAGAAGCGACTTGAGGTCGCGATGCTTTAGTTTGCAAAAGTTTACACTGAATTCAAATTTCGGTCAATGCGAAAAATACCTCTAACCAGGGGCATTTAGTTTTAAAAATTTATCGGATCGGCTGGAGTTTGAGCACCCTTTTCGATGCCCGGAGCGGTTACAAACCGCTCCTACCGGGTCGGGTCACCGAAAAACGTCGTAAAAAATGGAAAACTAAATAGCCTTATACCTCTAATGAGATGGTAGGAAGCTTTCGGACTCCACTTGCTTTGCTCGTTTTACTGCACGCCCCCGCCGCCAGAAATTCACACTGGCAGTAAAAAGAAATCCAATACCGACGACACCTGCGGTTATACCGCCCAACACCAACTCAGGATTTACCACAATACCGTAGATTGCTGCCCCGATGAGCAGGACAGCAATAAGCGTATCTTTGAGGCTGTTCTTTTGTGTCCGTTTTTGAAGGAGACGCAGATTACTCAACTTCCGCTGTTTTACATAGTCAGCAAGTGGTTCTACAGGAACATGCACCGACTCGGCTTGTTCGGGTGGCACCTCGCGCACACAGCGAAAACCGATATTTCCGGCGACATAGTCTGGCGGCGCATGTAAACGATTGGCACACCGAAAATAGCGTTCCGCTGTGCCATCACGCACTTCTAACCATGACCCCCCACGCAAGGCTTTATGTTTATCATCCATCCGCTGTTTAAGCGTTGGACGTTTCGGATCAGGATATAGTTGATACCAATCGGCAGTCCATTCCCAAACATTTCCTGCCGCGTCACCGACTCCGTAAGGGCTTACTGTGGCGGGACGAACGCCTACAGGCGTGAGATGTGCCGTCAGAGTCTGAGAAGTCTCCATAGGGGTTTCTGTAGATTCAGATTCGTCAGGAACAAAGACATTACCCCACGGATAAATCCGTCCGTCGGGACCACGGCAGGCTTTCTCCCATTCTGCCTCTGTCGGTAGCCGTTTGCCTGCCCATTGTGCATACGCGCGACTATCATGCCAACTCACGCGAACAACTGGGAGATTTGCATCTTCAGGCGCGAAGTCACCGTTTTTCCAATGTGGCGGTGGCGGATGATTTGTTTCCCGCACGAAAGCAGCATACTCGGCGTTGGTCACTGGATACTGCTCAATGAGATATGCCTCCAGAAAACGGATGTGCATTGGTGCTTCATCAAGTTTGGCGTGCTCCGAATTGGCTAAGGCAGTGCCGTAGAACGCTTCAATATCGGTACCCATGATGAACGCGCCCTGTGGAATAAGAACAGCATTTTTAATTATACCTTGCGGAGAAACGACAGCAGTTAAGGCTTTCACGTGCGTTTCTTAAACCCGCCCTCCATTACATTACGGGCTAACGTTTTTGATGGTTTTTTAATTCTACCTTCATCCAAAATTCCACGCTGCTGTGGCATATTTGGTTTCAAACAAAGTTTCTGCCTGCGCTCGCTCCATCATTGACAGTTCTCCTGCATTAAACGCAATTCCGATTTCAAATGTTTCGCAGATGGCTTGGATGAGCGCGTCTCTTGTTATAAAACGTCCACCTACATTGATAGCAGTTGACTTTTCGCGGACGCTCTGTTGGCTTTCTGGGTCCTTTGAAACGCGCTTGAGGATAAAGGAAGGCGGCATATCCAATGAGATATACCCTTGAAACATCATCCCGTCTCGGTTACGCCTCACAGAAACACCCGCTAACTTCTTGTCGTCAGACATAACATCATGCTCGGCAGGATTCGTCAAACAGATATTTGGAGCAGTTTCGGGGGAATCGGGGCACGCGGCGTAGCACTGCGCGGGGACACCGAGTTTCTGAAACGCCTTGACGAGAGATTGTCCGATGCATTGATACGCCTCGGAAATACTCATCTCTGCAGCAGCCCGTGGGAGAACCAGCGTATAGGTTAATTCCCATCCATGCACGACAGTCCCACCGCCGGTCATTCGTTTCACCAATTCGATACCGTCCGCGCGGCACGCCTCCACGTCAATTTCTGACGCAATATCTTGAAAGTAGCCGAAACTGAAAGATGGAGAAGACCACTCATAAAACCGCAGCGTCGGGTTCGGTTGTTCCTTCTGCGCGAGCAGAATCATCTCGTCAATCGCCATATTCATTGCGGCACTACTTTTTCCCATATTCAGGAGTCTGCCGATCGTTTCCATGATTAGGATAATGCCACACGGCACACCGCAGTCGTATGTGCATCGCAATACCAGAAATAACCCATCCCAGTAGGTCATTCCGTGGGGTTCAGGATGTGGTTCCGGTATCTCGATTTTGTTCAGATGGCTGCCATCTTCCGGATTGAGATGGAAGATTGCGCGATGGTTCGTCTCAACGCACCAGAGATCGTCGCCTACCCATGCGATACCGTGTGGTCGATCGCCGGGAGCCGGGAGCGTGTGAATTACTTTGAAACCGTTTTCAACATCGATTTGATAGATAGTCGCAGATGGCGGGACCGCCAGCCAGAGTTTATTGTCGCGCCATTCTAAGCCGTGCGCGCCCGTTTGCCCTGCACCGGGTGTTTCATAAGAGGCAAGCGTTTTGCCACTTTCCGGATCCGTTGAAAGGATTTCGCAACTATAGGTGGACGCGAGCCAGAGCGTGTCGCCTGTATCTGCAACACCGCTCCCTCTATCGGAGCCAGTGGCAAGCGTTTTTTTCACAGCACCGTCGTAGGAGACGAGATGCGCCTCGTTGGTCTGTTGGTCGAGAATCCAGAGTCCCTCTTCGGTGGCTTGCATTCCGTTGGGTTGTGGTCCTGGGGAGTCAAAAACTTTTTCGATTGTCGGCATGAGAAACCTCCGTATATAATATGTTGTAATTGGGATTTTATTGTATACAGTTTTGGAAAGGATGTCAAGGATTTTTTGGCTGCATTGATATAACCCTAACTAAGGTTTGAACAATTTTCAGCAGGGAATCAACGCCGGATTTGGTCTGGGAATAGACCAAATCCATTCCTTGTATTACATTTGGGCGTGTTGCCTCGCAGTGAGAGTTGGCGGGATTGAACGCAAGTAAAACCCCAGAACCGCTGTATTTCTGCCAGCGTGCGGCATATCCTTTCACGACACATAGCGTTCCACTGGAGTGCAGGGGTTGGATACACCGTTTTCTATAGACATAACGTAAGTTCGACTCAACAGGACAGATGCGTTCACGTTCATCAAAAACCTGAAATCACTCAAATACAAGTCAAACTCAACACATTCCCACACCTCCAGCGTTGGCTTGTTGGGTTTCGCTATCTCTATTTTCACGAATCGGTTATTGGAACGATGAACTCCCTGTATAACTGAAGGTTTTTGGTCATTTACCGCTCTACCCAACCTACGTCTACATTTACATTTTTATTATTGAGCTCACGTTAGACATAGCACTTTCTTCGGCTTGCCGGATTTTCTCAGGGTTGCAAAAGACTGTCGAAAGATCGCAGAAAAATACACGGTCTCTTGAAAACGCAACTCGAACGCGACACGAATTGTCCAAACTTTAGTTTGGGATAATATGGATTTAACAAATATTCCTATCTGTGGGCGTGTGTGAGTATATTTACCGGAGTGGCTTGAAAAAGGAGTTGGTGAGCGGCAGAGAGAAAGCCTGCTGAAGTTTTCCCCTCTGCGCTCTACCAAATCTCCTATTTAATTTGGAGTATGACTGAAATCATGATGACGTATGATGAATGAATGGATTTCAGTCATATTGTAATTATACATAAATTAATTCAGTTTTGCAAGAAAAAAATACAAAAATTGTATTTTTTATACAATTTTTGTATGAAAAAGTCTTATTTTGATGGATTTTGTGAAAAAATGCGTTTTGAAACGGTAGGTACCTGACTATGCCAAGGCATAAACACCCCGCCGGATCCTCACAATCTCACCGGTTTCTACGAGATGAGTGAGTTCGTTTTTAATGGAGCCCGGGTTCCCCTGAATTGATTCAAGGATTTCAGATGTTGTTTTCTCTCCATCCGAGAGCAGATCGAAAATCTGGGCATGAAATGGAACACGCTCGAGTTTACCGCCTCTCAATCTCATCAAGATACGGTTCGCTTGCGCCTTGGAAACACCAAGCAAATATTCAACGCGTTCTCGATGCCACGACGCATCCATGTTCGCGTATTCTGCCTCGTACCCCTCGCGTATCCGAATCGTCTCTGAAAGTTCATCCAACCCACCAGCGATCTCAAAGTCTTCCCAATCGAAACAATTCCGTCTCTGGTGCATCGGTGACAGAGGGTATCCGCAAAGCCGTGTTGAGAACCAACGTCTTATCCGATGCCTCATTGAATCCAGTGATACGGATAATCTGTGCCAGTACACCTACAGCATTCTGTTCGTAGAGTTCTTGTATCCGTTCATCTTCAAATTGATAAGGATTCATTGTCAAGTTATAATTTAACGGCTCCACTTGGTTTCCAAACAATATTTTCGCTTGTTCCCAGATAAATTTCGGGGGCCAATAAGGCGTGCCAACGATCCACACAACATCAGCAGCTTCAAAGATGGATCGTAGAACCTTGATGCGGTCGTAGTAAACGTCAGCAGCTTCAAAAGTGGATCGCAAATCCTCAGGGTGTGCCGGGGTGTCTTTGATGAGATCGTGGTAGCTGATAATCTTATCAAAAACATTTTTCAACATCAGCGCCGCGCTTGTGCTCGAGATAACGACATGATTGCGATCCGGATGCCGCTTCATTTCTTGATAGATACCGCAAAAAAAGCGACTCGCAATTTCAGAAAGGCTAAACACATCCCAATTAACCTCGTAGTTTGCGATTGCATGGGAGATATGCGGCGCGCTCCGCAGCTGAAAAGACTTATTCCCTGAAAGCGATGTCTCCTGCGATTCAACCCGCCTGACCGAAACAGTCTCTTCAGGAAACACTTCTTTGAAACAATCTTCCGAGAACGCTGCGATATGAACACAAGTTCCTGAATCTCTTGATGAATTCTTGGCGGTAACCAGAACCGCAAAATCCCGTCATCGACAAACATCGGAGCATCCATATCGCGCGTGTAATACGCAAAGAATGTCTTCAACTGATGCCATAACGTCCACTCCGGGTCGCGGTACACATTTGGGACCTTCTCTATGTTTTCTGAGGTCGATATATCCAAAATCCCAAACTGGATCGCACTATCAATATCTATTGCAACCCTGCTGCCATCTTTACCTGTACAATTTACCTGACACATCTGCTGAACAATGCTATCTTCTAACCCTTCAAACGCCTGAACAACAGTGCGAATCCGCTTAGCAATATCGCCATGTTGACTGTCTGTAATCCGAATAGCGTTCAGCATTGTTTTCGCGAATTGACCCAACACCGCACCACTCCAATTAATGAGCCAGCCTTCAAGAATTTCGATTGACAGATGATACTCTGAAAAGAGTTTAGCGAGCTGGGATTCAGAATCATTTATAATACAGATCCGATTGGGAACGATCAACGCATCAACAAACGCCGCATACCGCCGATCCAGAAAGAGGTTCGGAATCTCTGATACAATGACCTGCTTCTCCTTGAGCGTCTCGAATTGAGAAAGATACCCGCGCTCTTGACACGCGTCGTAAACAAGACAACTCGGGCAAATACTTTTATTCGGATTACCCCCCTTCTGCTCCAACGCATCACATCTTTCGGCATCTTCGCAGACGTTCCCGTGTGCAAAAGGGTTCTGCATCCGTTCAGCAAGCGGTCCCTCCTTCACCTGTTCCCAGCGATAGTTTCTCGGTTTCCATCGCCCGACGGTAATCCCCTGACGCTCATAATACCGCTGTGCGTTCTCTGCGTCATAAGCGGTATTAGAATTTACACAGATAGGCGCGGTATTGAGAAACGCGGCTTCCATCTCACGTTTCTTTTCAGTGCTTATGGAACCCGTAACAAGCCCAAGAATGCGCGCTTCCGCTTCAAAGACATTCCTCTCATCCTCCGCCTCAGTGCGTTCCATTTTTTCAAGGATAGGCTTTGGTCGTCTAATTCCAATCGGAGAAAGCTCACCTCGGTGCACCGCAAGGATATTTTCATTCACAGCTTGCTCTGTTTCTAAAGATTCTATGACAGCAAAATCGTCGAAATCCTGTGTATCCACGATCGCTTCATCTATCGTGTCTAATTCCGATGCCGGGGCGGGTTCATGTAGCAACTCTCGCAAGACATCGAGAAACGCAAAAAGCACATCTTTAGAAATGATAGGCGGGTCTAATAGACTGCCCTTAAGAATTTCGTAGCGGGCATCCCAGCGAGTAAAGCCTTTATCCCCAACGATGTCTACATAGATATCTCGATCGCGAGTATGATCTATGTCAGGTAGATACTTATGAACATACTGCTTTGCGTCCGTTGTGTTCGGATGAAGATAGTCCGGCACTCGACACGAAAACCGCAAGCCTCCACCCTTGAGCAAGGTGAGTAGTGGGTTCATAACAGCGTTGACGAGTGCCTCCACACATGCAACAACGGCATCAGGCGCATCGCGAATCGCTCTGTAGGTGAACTCGATGTCATGCCAGTTAGCTCCCTCGCGTGCAGATGGCATCCCTGTATAGATCTGAATGCCCCACGACGAAAACCATCGCCTCGGGCTCCAGTCGAGTGTGCCTTGTCGTCTTAAGAGACGACTGCCACCACAATACGCATGACCCCGATCGAAAGGTGCCTGTCCAATCGGCATAAACGAAATGTCTGCCTGTTCAAGAGCATGCAAAAGCAGCGGATACCGATGTGCACAATAAACAATATAGTGGTAAGGGTACTCACCGTGCAACGTGGGTGAGACAATTGTCTCCCGCTGTTGCATGACCTTCTGTCGCCGTTTATGGCACTGTTGGATAATATCCTTCACAGATTCCATAGGCGGAAATCTCCGTAGAAAATATACGTTATCGGGTTTCAAGCACCTTAAAAACGACTTAAGAGAGTTGTTAAAAATTGCGAACCTAACGCCATTTGTGAGAAGGCGGGCGAGAAAGGTCTCGCTCCTTTCCTCCGCACAGGTTCGTTGCTCGGATGGAGCAAGTGCCGTCGCGCTGTTTGGATTATTATGCCATAAACGAGATAAATTGTCAAATACATCTTTGTTGAAGTCTCAATATTGGTTTGCAAGCTGCGCCAAAAAGTGATATAATTCCGTGATAACTAAACATAATACCTTGGAGACTGCTTTGAATATTGATGCATTAAAAGGAAAAACAGTTGGTGCCGCTGTTTCTGGCGGCTTGGATAGTTGTACCATCACGAAGTGGTTAGTCGATAACGGTGTCAAGGTCGTCTGTTTTACGGCAGATCTCGGACAACCTGACGAACGAGATGTTTCCGAAATTCGGGAACGGATGTTGGCATGCGGTGCTGAAGACGCTATTATTGTCGACGCGAAAGACGCGCTTGCGGAAGCAGGCATCCGCCTCGTCCAGTGTCAAGCCATGTATGAAGGTGGGTACTGGAATACGACTGGTATCGCGAGGCATGTTACGGTGAAAGCACTCCTACCGGAGATGGAAAAGCGCGGTGTCACTATCTTAACACATGGTGCAACTGGTAGAGGCAACGATCAGGTGCGATTTCAACTCGCTACCAATATGCTCAATCCACACTTTGCTGTCTATGCACCGTGGCGAGATCCGAACTTCCTCAAAGTGTTCGGTGGCAGGAAAGAGATGATAGACTTCTGCCAAGCACATAACCTACCGATTACTGCGACACACGAGAAACCCTACTCAACCGACGCGAACCTCTTGGGACTCACACATGAAGCCGGACGACTCGAATCGTTGAAAACCCCGGCAGGTTTTATTACCCCCGGCATGGGAGTCCATCCGAAAGACGCGCCTGATGACGTGGAGCACTTCACGGTTACCTTTGCGCGGGGAACGCCTGTTGAGGTTAACGGAAGTCCTGTCACATCGCTCCAGGGTCTATTGGAGGCAAATCGCATCGGTGGACGAAATGGTGTCGGAATTGGCATTCACACCGTTGAAAATCGGTTTGTCGGGATTAAGAGTCGTGGCGTTTATGAATCACCGGGGATGGAATTGCTTGGGAAGTGTTACGAGTATCTGCTTCAACTGATTTTAGATAGACGGGCGCGCCGACACTTTGATGGCGTAGCCACCACGATTGCGGAGCAGATTTATCAAGGTTACTGGTTCGATGCTGCGACGCAAGCACTACTGGCTTCTATTGAACCGCTCACTAACTTAGCAAGTGGAACCATTACAGTTGCACTCTACAAGGGTAACGTCGCTTTCCATGCCTCAGGTGGGGCACCGCATTCGCTCTACTCTGAAGAGACGGCATCTATGGAAGCAATTGGGGACTTTGACCACGCCGATTCGGAAGGATTCTTAGCGGTACTCGGTGTAGGTGCGCGGGCATCGGCTGTTGCAGGACAGACACAGGAGTAGACACCTAAGGCACTTCAATCTTTGCGAACACCTGCGAGACAATGCTCTCGACATCGCGACCGTCCGCTTCCGCTTCGTAACTGATGATAACTCGGTGTCTCAGGACATCCATGCCGACTGCGTGGATGTCTTCAGGGGTAACGTAACCGCGTTGAGAGAGGAACGCTCGCGCCCTCGCAGCAAACGCAAGAAAAATGGTCGCACGCGGTGAGGCACCGTATTCAATTAACGTGCTGAGTTCATCCAACTGATACGCTTCCGGTGCTCGCGTCGCACACACCAAATCGACAATATAATTCTCCAACTGCTCTGCCATATAGATACTTCGGACCACCTCTCGGAATCGGATAATATCTTCCGCGGAAATCACCGGTTGAATGGAGGAGATCTCTTCGGTCGTCATCCGCCGGAGAATTTGTAATTCCTCTGCATGTGAAGGGTAGTTAACCTTAATCTTCAGCATAAATCTATCCACCTGCGCTTCGGGTAGCGGATAGGTGCCTTCATGCTCAATCGGATTTTGGGTCGCCAGAACGAGAAACGGATCGCCAAGTGGATAGGTCGTGCCGCCGATTGTTACCTGTCGCTCCTGCATCGCTTCAAGTAGGGCACTTTGCACTTTGGCGGGTGCACGATTTATCTCATCTGCGAGGATAACGTTGGCGAAAATGGGTCCCTTTTTCGTGTAAAAATCACCCTTTTGTTGATCGTAAATCAGCGTGCCGACGAGGTCGGCTGGGAGTAGGTCGGGTGTAAACTGAAGACGATTGAAAGAAGCGTCAATCGTCTGCGCAAGTGCACTCACAGCAGTCGTCTTTGCGAGTCCGGGGTACCCCTTCGAGCAGGATATGTCCGTTGCAGAGTAAGCCTATCACTAACCCCTCTAATAACGCGCTTTGCCCGACGATGACTTTTCCCGTCTCTGTGAGAATCTGCTTTATAAGCCCACTGTCTGCTTGGATGCGGGCATTCATCGCCTCTAAATTGTAATTTTGCAATTTTTAATTTTACCTTGCGGATTCTTAATTTTACCTTGCGGAGGAACAACATGCCTTTAAACGATTGCGAGTCTCTCTTATATCCGCCTGCGCCGTTGTTGCAGGCTACCACTTTGGTATTGCCATGTAAATCCTGATTCAGACAACTTCCCGTCCGTCTGCAATCAAAATCCCTTTACTGAAGGCGAGCATGCTGACGGTACTTCTTCCAACTGCTGATCGCTGACTGCTATTAACGAAAAAAAGGTTGCGTTTCGCCTTCTTGGAAGGACTGCTCAAGCCACGGATCCTCGGTTTTTTGCCTGAATTCGATAACCTTTTGACGCATCTCGTTGGCTATGTTTTGTAACTCCGGTACGTCAATGAGGTTTCGCGACTCTGCTGGATCGTTTGCACATCATACAAAGCCTCACGACCTTGCTGTAGAAAAGTCGGTTCGCTGTCGTTCACCGAGTTGCTGAACGTTGTCGTTCCGCACCGCTGTCCATGAGATTGAACGGAACAGGTCGCTTGGAAGTGGGGTCTCCAATTGGTATGCCAGATTGCGGATGTACTTATACCGTCTGCCACGCAGCACGCGATATGGATAGTAGTTCGTCACCTCATGGAAACAGTGAGAAAAATACGTTTCCTCCCAGTCACCGTTACCCGGATGTGGACTATCGTCCTCCAAGACAGTGAGCAGCGATCTACCGGGAAGTGCCTCTGCTCCATCGGGATGTGCGACACCACACCAATCCAACATTGTTGGACAGAAATCTACCCAGTTGACGAGTGCCTGATTGTGGAAACCGCGTTTCTGTTGCGTCGGACTGGCGATAAGCAATGGGACAGTGATGTCCGCTATCAAAACTGGATGCCTTCGCGCCCGGAAATGGCATTGCGTGATCGGTCGTAACAAAGACAAGGGTTTCATCTGCGCGCCCGGAAGCGTCAAGTGCCTCCAAAACCGCACCCACCACAGCATCCCAACGCGAAACACTCTCGTAGTAATCAGCGAGATCTTCACGTACAGCCGGCACGTCCGGTAGGAAATTCGGTACAATTATTTCATCAGGACTATAAGAGTTGGGCTGAATACCCGCATGCGTCCGGTCATTTCCAAAACCTTTACCTGCCCGATGTGGATAGGAACTGCCGATATGAAGATAGAAGGGGTTGTCTACGTTCTCAGTAAGAAATTGATTCACCTTCGCTGCCACGTCTACGGGACTTCTGGCATCAACCTTAGGTTCAAAGTCGAAAGGATAAACGCTTTCAGGCTCAACGTGTTTCTTCCCGATGCACGCCGTAGCAAATCCGTGCGCTTTGAGAATTTTCGGCACCGATTGCATATATTCATGTGTGCGGAATCCGTGAATGCCGTGGCAATGCCCATATTGTCCGTGCGTATGGCTATGTTGTCCCGTAAGAATACAGGCGCGGCTCACGGCGCATGAGGGGCTTGTGCAGAATGCGGAGTCAAACACAACACCGCGTTCGGCAAAGGCATCGATATGCGGGGTTCGGATAACCTCATTTCCGTAGCATTTCGCGATGCGGCTCCAATCGTCGGCGATGACGAACATAACGCTTTTATAGGGATTGTTCATAGTTTTCCTTATATGCGGAAGTGTAATAAAAAAGATCGCCTCAACGCAACTACTCGAAAAGTTGGGAGACAGGACAGGCAAATCCCGGCACGACATCCTCACCCGTGAGAGTGGCTTCGAGCGTGAGCAGCGCGATGTCGCTTTCAGAATGATAAACCGTCACCGTTTTAGAGCGGGGATCCAGAACCCAAACGAGGCGTGTGCCTGCATCCAGATAAGCGAACGCTTTGTCTACAACACGCCACTGAACGTCTGACGGCGAAACAACCTCAATCGCCAGATCGGGAGGTATCGGAAACCCTGTGTTTTCGTCTCCATCCAACCGCGGCGTTGAAACAAACGCCACATCTGGTTTCAATCCACGTTCACCGACCTGAAACGTTGCCTCTACGTGTACCTCCCCTAACTGATTCTCACGTACATGCCGATCCAAATGCCGGATGACGTTGACGCTAATCTTGCTATGTATTCTCGTGGGCGGAGACATCGGCACTAACTCTCCTTTAACGTATTCATATCCGTCTATATCGTTCTCAAGAAATTCCGCCAATGTCATGGAGACCTGTTCGGGTGCGAGAGTCCCTTGTGCGACTTTCTGGAGTTCTTGTTGCGTCATACCTTTAATCCCTCTTTTGATGTTCTATAACGAGTTTCTGATAATGAGCAGCTTATACCAACCCACCGCGTTTTCTTAAGAACCACTCGAACCCAAGGAGGACGAGAACCGCACCAAAAATGAGAGGCATATCCCAGATATCGACATCCGTAATCTTTGATGTTGCGCTTTCGACAAGCGGAATCTGATTTACGAGTTGGGTTGCCTCTTCCATAGTGTAGTACTTTCCGCCACTCCCTTCAGCAAGTGTTTTGAGAAGTGCGACGTTAAGCTCAGCGTTACTAAACTCGGCGTAAGATGTTTTTACTTCAAAAAGGGTCTGTTGTTCACCCAAGTTCTCGCTACCCAGGGTACCGGTTGCAGTGACAGTGTATTCGCCGTAGCGATTCGGAATAAAACGCGCCGTGTAGAGTCCATCTTTACCGAGGACCTGCTCAAGTTTTAACTCCCTGCGTTTCCCTGCTTCATCAACGACGATGGCTCGGATTTTCGCGTTGTTTGTCAACTGAAACTGTAGATCCGTAGCGGTAACCTCAATCACGACAGGTTCTTTCAAAGCGTAAGCCGTTTTCGCAATATCAAGTTTAACATGTTCCTTCGGTGCAGTCGTCAGCCACCTCGCAACCTGTCGCCAGAACCGTTCCGGACTATCCTCTTGGTGCCAGAATCGCTGATCCGCAACTTCATGAGAAGGAAGCATCTGCCAGCGCCAAGAAGTGTGCGGTGTAAATACCATTACGCGTCCGGCATTGTAATTATGCGTTGCGATAAGAATTCGATTACCGAATTCATTCCGATCGGTTGGATGCTCCGCCAAAACAAGTGCTCCTGCTTTGGCACGTTTCACCTTACTATATCCCTTCAACGTAGGCAAGATCTGCCAGCGTTCCAAATTCTCGGTAGGTATATCCGCCAAAGCCATCAAAGTTTCGACTTTCCCCTCCGGTGTGAGTTGCAATTTATAGCCCTTGTCTTAATGGGCTGCGAACTCGTGGTCGATCTACCGAGTCGCCTCGGTGCCAATGGAGGCGGCGCGGATCCAAGCTCCAATTCTACAGGGAGACCTTGCGCAATCGGTGTGTTGATATAGGATCCAGAAAGTTCGTGGTTACCTAAAGAATTGGAACCACCCAACATAAGCAGTCCACCCCCTCGGGTGCGTACAAACTCAACTGTATTCTCCAGCTGCGACGGTGTAAATTCGGATGCATCCACGTTGCCTAAAATGATAGCGTCAAAGTCAAAAAGCATCTCCTTATCGTCTGGATAAAATCCAAAATCATGTGATGCCTCGGTGCGGGTGCCGCCGTAATGCCGATCACCACCAGTAGTGACGCTTTTCAAAAACCGATCCGTCAATTGGATGTTCGGATCGTTTTTCAGGGCACGCTTTATAAAGCCAAATTCATAACGCGGTTTACCATCAACAAACAGGATTTTCACACGTTTGGTAGGTGTTACCTTGAGTAAAAACGTTTTCGTGTTGTTTTGTGGGACCGCTTCCATTTCTCCTAACTCCGCATGTACTTCAAATTTTTGCGTGCCGGCTTCGCGCGGGGTAAATCTAAGCAGGACGCGTTCTGATTTGGTATCAGAAACTGCGTCTGTCCCACCGATCTGCGACATCCAAGAGGTTCCTTCATCCATATCAACGGACTCAGTTTTCAGTACGCGTCCATTGCTTGTTAATTGGACGTTCACCTTCTTTCCTTTGAACCCTTTCCGTTGCAGTGTCATCCATACCTCGACAGGAAAATCCTCTTCTGCGATTCGAGGCACATTGACCTTGACAAGCTCGAGATCTGGATTGCCTTCTTCTGCCCCGATGCCAACGGTATGGATAGGGAGTTTCCGTTCTCTGATTTGCATTGCGAACTTTGCGACATCAACACCACTTCTGTCCACACCATCAGTCAACAGTACAGCTCCAGAGAGCGGGATTCCCTGCAAGTCATCAAGTGCTTCGTTTAACGCCTGTGGGATATCTGTACTTTCCCCCTCTGCACTGGTCAACGTCTCGCTCGGAACCCGTTTTGCTGTAGTGTCAAACGCAAAAAGCCTGACTTTGAATTTAGCGTTCAGCTTTTCAAGGAGTCCCTCTTCTTCCGAAAAGAGTAGGTCGTTGACGCGGTGCAACCGTGTCACTGAATCCGCAGAATCGGTAATCTGCATACTTTTGGACCGATCAACCATCACCAACAAATAGGAATCATCAGGGTTTGTTTGATAAATTGTGAGGAAGGGTTTAAGGAGGCAGAAGGCAAGCAGACAGAGTACAATCGTGCGGAGAAAGATGAGGAAGCCCCGGAAGACGCGTTGGATGCGTCCCTGGGTACTCCGATATGCCCATATCGTAGCGGCAAGAAGCGCGACGAGTAGAACCGCTATA